GACTTCAGGCACACACCGCCTTGCCTGGCTAGGTATTAGTTCTTTAAATGTTTCACAGAATTCAGCAGTGAAACCATCTGGTCCTGGACTTTTGTTTAATGGGAGACTTTTTATTATGGCTCTGATTTAGTTACTTGTTATTGATTGGTTGAGTTTTTCTGTCTCTTTATGGTTCAGTCTTGACAGGTTTTATGTGCCCTATAATTTATTCATTTCTTCTAGGTTTCCAATTTGTTGGTGCATAATTGTTTATGATAATCTCTAATGATTTTTTCCCCCGTGGTCTCAGTTTTTATGTTGCATTTTTTATTTCTGGTTTTTAGTCTTCTCTCTTTTCTTCTTAGTCCAACTAAAGGTTTGTCAATTTTGCTTATCTTTTCAAAAATTTAAGTTTTTGTTTCATTGATCTTTTGTACTGTTTTTTGTCTCAATTTTATTTATTTACACTTTTACCTTTATTATTTCTTTTCTTCCGCTAATTTGGAGTTGGGTTTGTTCTTGTTTTTCTAATCCCTTAAGGTGCTTTATTAAGTTGTATATTTGAAGTCTTTCTACTTTTTTGATGTAGATGTTTATTGCTATAAACTTCTCTCTTACCACTGCTTTTGCTGTATGCCATAGATTTTGGTATGTTTTATTTCCATTTCCATTTGTTTCAAGAAATTTGTTGAGGAACATGTTTAATTTCCATGTGTCTGTGTAGTTTCCAGGGTTCCCCTTGTTACTGATTTATTGTTAGTGTTTTAAAATTTCCTTTTATTTTCTTTCAAACTGAAGAAACTCCTTTAGTATTTCTTGTAAGATGGGTCTGGTGATGGTAAATTCAGCTTTTGTTTGTCTGGAAAAGCCTTTATCTCTCCTTCATAGTTGAAGGATAGCTTTGCTGGATATAGTATTCTTGGATGGGAATTTTTTTTCTTTTAGCACTTTGAAAATTTTGTTCCACTCCCTTCTGACCTGTTTGGTTTCCATCGATAAGTCTGTCACCAGATGAATTGAAGCTTCTTTATGTGTTATTTGCTTCTTTTATCTTGCTCTTTGTCCTTGATCTTTGAGAATGTGATGATTACATGCCTTGGGGAAGTCTTAGTTGGGTCAGATCTGTTTGGTGTTCTCTGATATTCCTGCACCTGAATTTTATCTCTTTCTCAAGTTTTGCAAAGTTTCCCCATGGTTTCTCTGAAAAAGCTTTCTACTCCTTGCTCTTATTTAACTCCCTCTTGAACACCAGTGATTCTTAGACGTTGTCTTTTGAAGTAATTTTCTTTATCTTGTTGACAATCTTCATTTCTCTTTATTATTTTTTCTTCTATTTTCAAATTGCCTGTCTTTGAGCTCATGTACTCTTACGTCTGCTTGATCCATTCTCCCACTGACAGTCTCTAATGAGTGTTTTCGTGCATCAAATATATTTCTCAGTTTGAAAATTTCTGTTTGTTTTTATTATTATTTCAATCTCTTTGTTAAATTTCTCTAATAAATTTTTGAATTACTTTCCTGGGTTATCGTGAAAAATCACTGAATTTCCTTAAAACTGCTATTTTGAATGCTTGTTCAGAGAGATCATATAGCACCATCTTGTTAGGATTAGTCACTGGTTCCTTGCTTCATTTGTTTGGGGAAGTTATGGTTCCCCGTTTGCTCTTGTCACTTATGAATGTATGTCTATGTGTTTGCATTGGAGAATTAGTTAGTTATTTTATTCTTCTTCTGTCTGGCTTTTTTTTTAATTGAATATATTTGCTTAGAGAGTCATTGTAATTTACCTGTTGAATTTTCTTTCTTTTTCCGTTAGGTTACTGCCTCCTTTTCAGCATTAGATGGTGCCGTAAGCCCAGGTTTGTCTCAGTTCTAATAAACAATTGGTGCACTGCCATTCCAAATGGGTATGGTGCCAAAGGGCATATCCTAGCAGTGTGGGAAGGTTAAGTAGGGGTTTGTGCCCAGAGGACCTGTGAGATGAACCCCCTACATCCTGGTGCTGCTAAACAGACACTCTTATTTGGTATCTACTTTGGCTAACTTACGGAGCAAAGTTTTGTGAGCTGGGGATGGTAGTCCTGCCTCCCCACTTTGTCTCTGGCTGTACCCAGTGATATTTCTTCCTTCAGGCATTCCCCATGCTTCCTATGAGTTGAGGTAGGAAGAGGTATCCTGCCAGGGAACTCAGGATGATGGGGAAGCTGGTTGTCACCTTGATTTTACTTTTTCCAGAGTTAAGCTGAGAGTCAGGGAGAAATTTTCCTTGTGCTTGGTGCCAGCGGATTGGAGAGAGGGGCATCTTGGCTATGGGTGTCCCCTTCTTTTACCATCTGCTTGGAGCTTTTTCACTTCTCTGTGGCACTGAGAGTTTCTCAGCCTCGTATTTTAGTTCTGGGATATTGGTGGTGATAACCTTAGTGCTGTAAATCTGGTTTTTGTTTTCTGTTGGGGGAATGAAGCCATGCCAATATTTGGAACCAGAAACTTGCTTCCACGCCAACATTTTAGAACCAGAAACTTAATTATATTACACCTTATAGTGCTCTGCTGAATTGAATTCAAATAAGAAATCTGAATAAATTTACCTCCTCAGCAACTATCCTAAATCCTTGCTACTCAAAGTGTGGTCATTGCACCAGCAGCGTTGAACTCACCTGGGAACTTGTTAGAAATGCGGAATCTCAGCCGGGTATGGTGGCTCATGCCTGTAATCCCAGCACTTTGGGAGACTGAGACAGTGGATCACCTGAGGGTCGGGAGTTCAAGACCAGCCTGACCAACATGGAAAAACCCTGTCTCTAAAAAAAATAAAATAAAATAAAAAATAAATAACTAAACAAAGAAATGCGGGATCTCAGGCCCACCCCAGACCTACTGAATCAAAATCTGCATTTTAACAAGCTATCCAGGAGACTGATGTGTACCTTCATATTCAAAAAGCACTGTCCTGCAATATTCTGGTAGACTTGTTTTGACAGGCGCTGCCTTTATCTGTTTGTAGTGTTGTATCTTTAATTCTGTAACATGACAGCTAAAGGTTGTATATTTTGGCAATTATTTTAATGCCACATTAATAGACTTTTATTGGGTAAATGTTAGTCTCTGTGAATTTTTGCTCACGCTTACTCTATCTCAGGATGAAAGCACTTGGGCTCATTTTTCTAGTTCTAGTAGAGTAAAAGTATGCATTTCCCTCTCCACTTCTACCCCCTTATATTTCATTTCTTGCCACAAGCAGGATTCCTTTCCTCCTTAACTCTCCATCTTCATGGTTCTCAGGAATATGTAGGTCCCAAAGCACAGTCAGCATTTTGCTCAAGTGGAAAATGTTCATATATAGTTGGGATCATGTGCCAGCTATGTGCATATGTATCTGTTTTATACAGATGGAATCTCAAGTTTAAATGTTATAATCAAGCCATCTTGCAAGATACTTTCTACACTCTTATTTTACAATGTGTGTGAACTTTCTTTTTGTGTTTTTGCTGATAAATGTTGATTGCTTTATTTCACTGGTCAAGATTGCTATAGAGGTATGCATGATATTCCATTTGATTTTGTCCTCTATGCCGTAGTTAAGAAAACTTTGTATTGTGACCTATCACATACATGAGTTTGGTATATTTTCCTTGCTTTTTAATTAGCTTAATGTCAGCCAGTTGATTCTGTATGGCAGAGTTCCCCAGTGACATCCTATTATGCCATAAGGCCATGTGAACAAGGAGGAGATCCATGTCAGCAAATTTCTAGCTAATTCAGGGATAGTCCTTCAAGTTTCATATTCTTTGAGTTTTGACTCTTTTAAAAGTGGTCTTCATATAACATCACGTACATCTTTAGCACCTTAGGTAGAAGACGCTAAAATTGATTTTGTCTTTGAGGACAACTCCAATGCCTGTATTGTGAAATGCGAGGCCATTGTACCATGGGGCGTGATTTTCTCTGAGGCGGTGGCAGATGGGACTGTTGGCAGTGGGACTATTTCCTGTTCCATGAAGTGACCTCTGGCTGCTGTATTTTTCAGTAGTCTGCTTTGGTTTTACCCTGTTGTTCCAGGCTTGGATGCTGTCCGGTCCCACAGCAGTGTACTTTGCCTCTGGTGTATTCTATCTCCTGAGCCCTTTGCCCTTCTATTGTGGTGCTTTTAATTTGTTATATATTAAAAACCTGCTAGGTAATCTTGCTAGAATATATTGTAATTAAGAATAGGCTCAGAGTGATGTCTTCAGAGGATGAGCTAGGAATCATATAGGTACTTTTATGGTGCAAACTTGAATAAAACTTGTGAGCAGCCACAACTGTTCGGTTCATTTTGCCTTTGGGTTATTTCACTGTTCACTGATGATCTGCTATGTGCTGGGAACATATGAGATTGAAGTAAACATTCTTGTCGTTCCCGTAATCTGTTCTGGGGATAGACAAAATACAAAGCAAAGCATTACACCTGTATGATACAGATGTAAACACTGTACTGGGGGCTTGCATGAAGTAGAGTCATAAATTTGACCAGACTTACTGGAAGATGTAAGATTGGGTGGGAGGAAGGCACTTTAGTTGTGGAGAGACAGGTAGGGTGGAAGGGAGAGGATGTCCTAGGTGGAAGCAGAAGTGTGAGCACAGGTGGTTGAAGCATGAACATCTATGCTGGGTACCCAGAGGGAACATCGAAGTGTTATTCACAGTTTTGCCTCGAGGTCTAGGATGGTAGCATTGTAGACTGCTCTGCCTGTGGTTCACAGCATGTAGTGCCTAAAAGGTGGGTAGATGTCTCTCCTTATGTGGTGTGAAAATTAAAGAAGCTCATTTGTGTGGAAAACAAAGACCACATTGGAAGATTTTCTCATCAGGGACATCATTTTACAAAATAAAGCTCTTTAGGAGAAGATGCACAGCAATTTCCTTGTCCTGAGTTTTGAAATATTTTTAAAAACCATTTGTAAAGCTTTTGAAACTTCTTGCTCTTGTGTTTCAGAGTTTACATCTATAACTGATGCTATCATTTTTCTTTACATTTACAGTACGGCCAAGTACAGCGTGTTGACATTTCTACCTCGATTCTTGTATGAGCAGATTAGAAGAGCTGCTAATGCCTTCTTCCTCTTCATTGCCTTATTACAGGTAATGGCTTTTCAACAGTTACTTGGAATTCACAACCTTAATTACATGTAAGATGAGATTTTGCTAAAAGATTCCTTAACTGCTTAAGTGTTACAATCTTGGAATATAGTTTGTTTCCCTCCTCCAGTCCTTGTTTGATAGAGTGAACAAGCTTGACTTTGTTTACAGGGAGAGTTCTTTTGGTATGGCCTTAAGGATGATTGGAGTGACTGAAAGAGGCATTGCAAAGAGGCCTTAGGGCCATATTTTTAAGCTTTCTTCTGTTCCAAACACATAACCAATGCTGGATACAATTTTAAAAAACACATAGGTAGTTTTTAAAGTAAGGTAATTATTTTTGAGTAACAAAAATGGAACAGAACTGCAAAAGTGTGAGCCATGAGTGCCATAATTTCCTTTTCGTGGAGAGGATTTTTATGTGCCAACTTCCTTCTTGTGGTCTCTTATCTTCCAGCAAATTCCAGATGTATCTCCAACAGGAAGATATACCACCCTGGTGCCATTGATCATTATTTTAACAATTGCAGGCATCAAAGAGATTGTAGAAGATTTTGTAAGTTTTTGCTTTTGGATAATAAAATCATTGTATGCAGTAGATCATAACTTGTGTGTTGCCTTGGATGATATATTTAAGGCAGGAAATTGAGCTATAGCTTAACCAGCCTCTCTAGATGCCTGATGGCATTTTTGGGGGGAGGAATATATACTCAGAGTGTCCTAAATACCTGTACAGTGATACTGAACAGTTCAAACTTTGTTCAAATGGTAGGTCTCTGGAGCCCCATTGATTTTTATCACTGATGTTCCTTATAGCCTGCGTTAGAGCTGGCTAATTTGGGTAGCAAATGAAGGACTTCCTTGCAGCCTAGGATGGCGGCATTGTTTCATGGTGCCTGAGGCAACTTTACAAGAATCTTCTCCCCTCATACTCATCCTAGTGTGTCTCTAAGTTCATTGGCTATGACAACTATATTCCTTTTCTCTCTTTCTTGCTCTGTCTCCACCCATATACATATGTGTGTGTGTGTGTGTGTGTGTGTGTGTGTGTATGTGTGCTGACTCTCTGTCTCTGGATCTTCCTCTCCTCCCTTTCACACACATTCATACACACACACCCACACACACACGCCCCCCCCACACACACACAACCCTTCCTTTCACACACATATATACATCTTTCTGGGAATAGGCATGCAAATAAATATAATACAGGTTAGGCATCCCTAAATCCAAAAACCCCAAATCTGAAATGCTTCCAAATCCAAAACTTTTTGCACACCGACATGATGCCACAAGCGGAAAACTTCACACTTGACCTCATGTGATGGCTGCACAAAATTATTATAAATATTGTATGAAATTACCTTCAGGTTTGTGCGTAAGGTGAATATGAAACATAAATACATTTCGTATTTAGATGTGGGTCCCATCCCGAAGATATCTCATTAGGTATATGCAGATACTCCAAGATCTGAAACAGCCTGAAATCTGAAACACTTCTTGTCCTGAGCATGTCAGATAAGGAATCCTTAACCTGTACACATCGAAGCAAAGTTACTTTATCAAGAAAATGAAGTTGGCTATTTGTTGCTGGGTTTGTCACACTGAATAATCATTTCGGTCTGATCTAAAGCAAGGAGCAGAAAGTTTTGTACTTCCCAGTGCTAGAACCAACATGAAATAGTTGAAACCAGAGGAGACCACTTCTAAACTCAGGGAGTGCTGATAGATCACAAAATTGTCAAACTGAATTTTATAGCATGAGCATTACTGGCAGTTAGTTTCCTTGTCCCCTGTCATTTCTTGATTGTTTTGTTTGCTGTTTCAGTTATTCATGTGGAACTTTTGAATGTTAGAACTATTTTTTTCTCTTTCTATAACAGAAGCGACACAAGGCAGATAATGCAGTTAACAAAAAGAAAACAATAGGTAAGCTCCGGGGCTGAATCATTTTATCTACTGGAAAACTTATGAGTAAGGCCTGCATTTAAGGAATTTAAAATAAGTAGTGAATGGTATTGAGATAAATTGAGAAGATGATCTGTAAAATGCTTCAAAGAAATAGTAAAATAACAAAGAAATTGAACAGAAATTTAGTCCTGATATTAAGATTGGAACAGGATTTGTGTATTTTAGAATGTTAAAAAAGGTTGTAATTTTCAGGCACTAGATAGTTTTTATGTCCATAAAAAGTCTAAGCATTCATGTCCTTCATTTATAATCTTTCCTTACTTCCCTCTTCTGCTTTATATTGTTTGATTTCTACGACATCAATTTTTTTGTTTGTTTGTTTAATTTTTTGAGACAGGGTCTCACTCCTATTGCCCAGGCTGGAGTGAAGTGGCATGATCATGGCTCACTGTAGCTTTGACGTCCCAGGCTCAGGTGAGCCTCCCAACCTCAGCCTCCTGAGTAGCTGGGACTACAGGCACACACCACCACCCCCGACTAATTACTGTATTTTTAGTAGAGATGGGTTTCACTATGTTGCCCAGGCTAGTCTCGAACTTCTGGGCTCAAGCAATCTGCCTGCCTCGGCTTCCCAAAATGTTAGGATTACAGGTGTGAGCCACCGTGCACAGCTGTGTAGTTTTTTTTAAGGATTGTGTAACAGCAGGCTTTTTTTCTTCTGGGCCGAAAATAAGTAGATATAACTTACATACATACAATAAACATTTATGTGTATGCATTAATGTATATGTTACAGAGGCACATGGATTGGTGTTCCATGATGGTGCAACAAAAGATAGGGTATGGGAGAATTAAATGGAATTCCAAGCGAAGGCTTTTGGATTTTAGGAAGTGGATTCAATTTATTACCAGTATTAACCAAAATTTTATTTTTCTCTTTTTCAGTGTTAAGAAATGGTATGTGGCATACCATTATGTGGAAAGAGGTAAAAACTAATTTTCAAGATGTACCAGAACTATTAGTTTGAAGACATGTAACGAATTGCTGGTCTTGATTGCAGTATAAAGTTTGTGTTAAGACATAGTGGAGTTTTCCATGAGGTCTGCTGAAACCTGATACACGTTTACTCTGTCCCCTGCCCCTTCTACTACGGGCCCAATGTGTCACTTCAAGCCATGAACTTTGTTGGCGCCTGACTGACGTTTCTAGAATCTCCAAGTATTTTCTAGTTTCTAAATCCAATTTGAGAAACATTTTCCCTGGTCCTCTGTCTTAACCTAACTTAAAGTTTATATTTGTTTTTAGCATTCGTAATTCTCACTTCTAACAATTTTGGTTGGAAAGATCATTAACTACGGAGTGGTGGAATGTGGGTAAGAAACCATCCCACTTCAGTTCCAACGCAGGGCTGCTTGAATTCAGCCAGTACAGCAGTTGCTGCTCTTAATAGCAAGGAAAGCTTTGTCTCTATTCCCCTGGAAGTGTGAGGTTTGGAAGGTTGAAGAATGGTGTGGCTTTTTGGTTGTTTATAGTGTTGAGTAGAAAATTTAGAAGAAATCTGCCATACCATCTGGGTATTTTATATCTGATAAAATTAGCTTTTTAAATGAGTGTTTTAGCTGGACCTTCTTAATGGACACAAGATGTGTTGGGGGGATGACTCTCATTAGTCCAGCATTCAAAGCCGATTAACATGATTTCAAAAGAAAACAACTTTTTAGAAAGGTAACTTGAAATAATTTTTCTTGCTAAACATTTAGTAAACAGTGTTTTTAAATGGCTCTTACAGTCTTTTGTATCTGAAAAATGCCTGTGATATGGTAACTGCAGCATTTGCTTTAGTTTTCGTTTTACTATGCTCTGTTTTAGGAGAATCCCCCACCCTTTAAAGAAATTTCTCCTTTATAGTGTTTTGCAGTAACGCCCTTAACCTTTGCAGCAGTCTCAAAGTCCTGTGTTGGAAGCATTCATCAACCTCACATTTGGAAGGCTCGTGGTTCTTGGTCAGGAGGTTGGGAATTCTTGAGTCACAGGCAGAGAACTGCTCCCAGTGCTAAAGGAATTCAGGGGTTCTCCCAGCACTGGGAAATTGCCCCTCTATTTCTCTAGGGTTCCTCTTGTTACTCCTTCTCCAGAAAGGTATCAGTATCAGCTGGAGTAAAGGATGATTTGGATTCAGAGGTCCTGACACTACTTGAAACAGCAGAAAATGGAGTGATGGTCTCTGATTGATGGTCTTCTGTGATCCAGGAGCTGACGACTTTCTAGGCTCCTGAAACTCATGACTGTTTCTCATGTTCGTTTTGGGAGAGAAACAATAATAACAAAGAAACACCGGTTAGAAACTGTACCGCATGCATTTTTATTTCAGTTTAAAATGTACGACTGGGCACGGTGCTCACATCTGTAATCCCAGCACTTTGGGAGGCTGAGGTGGGTGGATCACCTGAAGTCGGGAGTTCGAGACCAGCCTGGCCAACATGGCGAAACCCTGTCTCTACGAAAAATACAAAAATTAGCTGGAGGTAGTGGTGGGCACCTGTAATTCCAGCTACTGGGGAGGCTGAGGCAAGAGAATCACTTGAACCCGGAAGGCAGAGGTTGCAGTGAGCCGAGATTGTGCCACTGCACTCCAGTGTAGGCAGCAAGAGATTCCATCTAATCAATCATCAATCAATCAATCAATCAATCAATGTCTATCTATCTATCTATCTATCTATCTATCTATCTATCTATCTATCTATCTTGGCATGCGCCAGAGATTGTATTAGGCAGAGGAAGAATGAAGCACAGTGCTTCCCTTAAGGAGTTTCAAACTTCAGTGGGCATCCCAGTCACCATCCACAGGGCTACTAGAATCCAGATTGCTGGGCCCCACTCCCAGGCTTTCAGATTCACTGGGTCTTGGGTGGGGCCCTAGAATTTGCACTTTAAAATTCTTAGTTGAGGCTGATGCCGATGGTGTAGGGAGCATACCCAAGAACCACCGGTGTCCTGGGAGAGAGAGGCAACTAACCCCATACAGTGCTGTTGTTGAGCTCTGTGTAGGAGAAGGCCCATCTAGACCCAGTGGTTCAAGTCAGGGAAGTCTGCCCTCAAGAGATGCTCTAGTGCTCTCTTGAAGGGTGAATCAGGGGTAACCAGCTGCAGAACTGTGAGTAGTTCGGTGTGAGGATGAGAATACAGGAGAGGGCAGAGATGTCAGGCAAGGGGGAGCTGGCTGTCCTTAAGATCCTGAAAATGGTAACAATCTAATCTGAAGTGCTGAAGCTTAGGTCTGCCGTCCCCTGGGCTGTAGCCGAGTCATTGGTGAGGGCCCAGAGGCAGCTCTTGGGTGGATCTCAGTGCCTTTAATTGACTTCAGGAGGATCTTTTAGCTACTTCCTCAGAATTAAGAGACTTGAGGAACTCTCTGGGGCTAGAGTAGATTCAGGGATCTGGAGCGTTTCTGTTCCCACTGTACTACTTCTTTGAGGGAATATTGTACACACAAGGAACAATCACATAAGAACATTACATAGAAAATCATTTCCAGGCCAGGCGCTCTCATGACTGTAATCCCAGCCCTTTGGAAGGCCAAGGCGGGTGGATTGCTTGAGCTTAGGAGCTCAAGACCAGCCTGGGCAGCATGGCCAAACCCCATCTCTATAAAAATACAAAACTAGCCAGGTGTGGTGGTGTGTGCCTGTAATCCCAGCTACTCAGGAGGCTGAGGTGGGAAGAACACTTGAGCCTGGGAGGCAGAGGTTGCAGTGAGCTTTGATCACGCCACTGCACTCCAGCCTGGGTGACAGAGTGAGACCTTGTCTCGTAAACAGAAAACAACTAATCAAAGAAAAAATCATTTTTAAGCAAAATCCAAGTTAAGTAGTTTTTCATGTGCACCAAACTTCTTAGTACTTGGTTACTGGGATATGAACGTTTCTTTATTTAGAGAGTAAAGATGAGAGAAAGCCATAATTTATCTTGTCCTCCCACTTTGAATTTTAAAAAAACCCACTGCCTTTTCTCATTTGAAAACATGACAAATTTTCCTATCTAGTGTTTTTTCTTTATTAATTACTTCTTCTGATTTTTATAAGTAATTAAACTATTTCTATAAAATATTTTCACTTTTTTTTTTTTAGACAGAGTCTCACTCTGTTGCCCAGGTTGGAGTTCAGTGGTGCTGTCTCGGCTCACTGCAACCTCCACCTCCTGGGTTCAAGTGATTCTCCTGCCTCAGTCTCCCCAGTAGCTGGGACTACAGGTGCCAACCACCACACCCAGCACTTTGGAAGGCTAATTTTTTTTTTAGTGAGATAGGGATTTCATTATGTTGGCCAGGCTGATCTTGAATTCCTGACCTCAAGTGATCCACCTGCCTCAGCCTCCCAAAGTGCTGGGATTACAGGTTTGAGCCACTATGTCCAGCCAGGAAATTTTTACTTTTAAAAAACACTTACAATTCACATAACATTCCTTGCTTTTTTTTTTTTTTTTTTGAGATAGAGTCTTGCTCTGTTACCAGGCTGGAGTGCACCGGTGTGATCTTAGCTCACTGTGACCTCTGCCTCCCAGGTTCAAGTGATTCTCCTGCCTCAGCCTCCCGAGTACCTGGGACTACAGGTGCATGCCACTATGCCTGGCTAATTTTTGTATTTTTAGTAGAGATGGGGTTTCACCATGTTGGCCAGGATGGTCTCCATGTCTTGACCTCGTGATCTGCTTGCCTTGGCCTCCCAAAGTGCTGGGATTACAGGTGTGAACCACCACGCCTGGCGCCATCCCTTGCTTTTGTACTGGTGATTGTTAAAATAGCTTTGTAGCATTTTCTCCACACTTCAATAAACAACTTAAAGCACCAGTAGGATACCTCTCAATTTGCCTTTTTCCCACAGAAAATTAAACATGGGCACCTGCCAGTTTATAAGATCTGATAGTTTTTTCACAAGTATCATATCACTTGAAATTCCTGGTTTCTAAGAGAATAGTAACATGGCTAGAATAGGAAATAGAAAGCAGAAGTGCCTATTTTGAGCTTTGCAATTATTACTATACTAGGAATGGTCTCCTGTTGTCATCAGATAATTCCAATGTCCTTGACCCTCACAGTCATGATGTCTTTCAGTTACACTTCTGCTGATGGAGACTGACATCTGCACGGACCTCTTTTATGACGGGTGCCAATGTATACTTCCTTAGTCCGCCTTACAAGGCCGGTGGCACTGTTTTCCCGTTTCAGACATGAGACGCCGGGGTGCTGAGAGGGGAAGCAACTTGCTGAGATCACAAAGCTAGCACAGGGCTATAAAGCTAGGGTTGGATCTGAAAGCCCCAGTTCTCGCTGCCCTGGTGTTTTCTGCAGTGTTACTGACAGGTTTTGGGACACTTGGCCATGGTGCCGTTTTGGGGACTACAGCCCTTTTCCTTGGCTTGGGACCTTCTGTCTGGTGGAGTCTGTTCCCCAGAGTGGTCTCTGACTTTGACCGTGATTCTTTTTCTGGGAATTTCTTAAGCCTGTACAAATCTTCTCCATTTCATGTGGTGTATTTCCAGGGGGCCTTTTGGGTGCCCTTTTCATGGGTGAATTTAGTGTTCTCTTTTAAAAAGAGTGTTGGTCTTCCCTGCAGCTTGCCCAGTTTCAAATCCTGGTTCTAACACAGTAGCTGTATTACCGTGATCAAGTTATTTTGTTCAGCACCTCAATTTGTAAAACAGAGAAAAATATATGTGTTAACTTAGTTGATCTTTACAGTTACTCTATGAAATATGTCTTTATCCCCTTTATATAGATGAGAAAACTGAGGTACACAGAGTTTACATAACTTGTTCATCATTACACAGCTTATCAGGGTGCAGTGGGAATGAAGCCCAGGCATTAGGCTGGCTCAGGAGGTGTGTGCGTGAGCATCCTACCCTACCACGTGCAGCTATGGAGATGCTCAAGTGTTTGTAAATGGATGGATAATTGTAAGCAAAGGAGATCTTTATAGCTGTTCTGACTTATCCCTTTTCTCCCTCCCTTTCCTTTGTTGTTAACATTGCAGAAAGGCAACATTACCAGTGGCTGCATGGAAGTACTTTCCTTTGGTTCTTGTCATGGAAAATAATTTGGGCTTCTCTATCTTAAACTTCATGGCTTAGTTATATAGTAATTTTTCTTCAAATATTTAAGCACCTTTTTCACCATGTGTGTTTTCTTTCTTTTCATGCCTCTGTCCTCGTTGCTGGCTGTCTAGGTGGCGGTGGGAGACATTGTGAAGGTCGTCAATGGGCAGTATCTTCCAGCAGACGTGGTCCTGCTGTCCTCCAGGTCAGCTGTGCTAGTGGGCACCTTTTTTTTTTTTTTTGCAATAAATGTTAAGAACAACGAAATAATAAGCAGGGACTGGAGCAGTCTTGAGCCACCTGTTCCCTTCTACCATCCTCTGTCCCATTCTTCCATTTCTTGTCATTTGCCTTCTCCTGCTATGACCCTTGGTTTCTTTCTCGCATTCATTCCTTTGTGTTTTCTCTGAACTCTTTTACATGTATTGACTCCACTTAGTCTTCTGACTATTTGGGGGATAGTTGTTATTTATAGGGACACCGAGTCAAGAGCAGTGAAGTGGTCCTTTCATTAACGTCAGGTTGCAGCATATCCATGATTTCAGTTTGTTTCCTGGTGGGCTCTGCCAAGCTCTGTCCTGTAGAACCCAGAGCTCCACTTTAATAGCTGTTCAGGAACCACAGATGTTTTCTCAGTGTAAACGTGACCAGCAGATGGTGTTTGCTCTTCATCGTTCATGTTTGGCCCTTTCGTGTCCAAGTTTCATTTTCACGTTCTCCAGGTAGTTTTATTCTAGGAGGGAATCATCACTTAGTGCAATTCTTGACATTTTTGGGGCTTGATGCAGGAATGTATATAGCTAGGAAAGAAAGCCAAAATTAGGACAAGAATAGACATCTATTCTTGAATTCAAGATTAAATTGTGTGACGTTAGGACTCTAACTTCCTATATTTATACACTGTTGGAATCATAGATACTCACGCTGCTTGCATTTTCTTTGATTACAGACAGTGTTTCTTATGTTGAATTTAATCACTCAATGGATTTTAAGCCGAAGCATTAGTTTTCTGCTTGAGATAATAGATTTTAAAATAGGACCCCAGGTCTATGGAAGGAGAAAGAACCAATAATGCAGGGCTGGATTTATGCTTGCCCATGTTGATTGATAACAAAGAAATTCTTAGAAATATTGAATTATTGATCACGATAGTTTGGGCTATAAGTCTTGGCTGTGACCCTAGAAAATTGTGTGTGTGTGTGTGTGTGTGTGTATTTTTGTTTTTTTTTGGAGACAAGGCCTACTCTGTCACCAAGGCTGGAGTGTGGTAACACAATCGTATCTCACTGTAAGTTCAAACTTCTGGGCTCAAAGTGATCCTCCCATCTCAGCCTCCTGAGTAGCTGGGACCACAGGTGCATGCCACTATGCTTGGTACATTTTTACATTTTTTTTTTGTAGAGACTAATTTAGAAAAAAAATTTTAGATGTTGTCCAAGCTGGTTCTGGAACTCCTGGCCTCAAGCAGTCCTCCTGCCTTGGCCTCTCAAGGTGCTGGGATTATAGGCATGAGCTACAGTGCCCAGCTAGTTTTGTTGTTTGTTTTTTAAACTTAGTCTTAATATGGGATTGCTTGAGCTGTCAGTCATCATATTTCCAGCATTCTCCTCATTGGTGTCTGAGTGTGTGCTGTGTGCTGAGCAGCCCGTCGAAGAGGTTGGCCCACTTAATCTTCCCAATAACCCTTGAGAGCCTTCATTTGCACATGACGAGATTGAGATACAGAAAGACTAAACAATTTGCCAAGGCCGTATAGCCCATAAAGGTGGTACCAGGGGATTTTACCTTAACTAGTGGATTGCAGAGTCCATTCTCTTACATCACTAACTATGTGAACTTAGCTAAACTCAAAGATTATAAATAGAAGTACAATATCTGTTACGCTTATTTTTATTCTTTGAGTTTTCTGTCTTTAATGATAGGTATTTTGATTAAAAAGTTGGCCTTGAGATTGTGAAAATGGCAGAGAAGCAAATCCTTGCTAAGTCTATGCCTCGATCCTTTAACTCCTCTGGCTGTCATTTTCTACAAAAAGCGTGTGTTTCTACTGGCCGATCAGGCCCAGCCCCAGACTTGAAGGGTTGCCTGAACCCAGTGGTTGCATCTGAGTGGGGACATCATGTGTTTTCCCTTTTCTTTCATCTTCAGTTCATTCCTGTCTTCCTGAGGCTCAGCAGTCATTATGTGGGGCTTACAATGGCAGATTATCTCGGCAACTGACTGAGTCCCAAAGATGAGTGTGTGTTTCCTTTTTCATCATTACTCCTACTATAGAGGTTATTTATAACAATTTATTTTGAAGGGCCAATCAGCAGACATGGATTCCATAATAGAGATATTATAAGCTGTGAATTTGTGGAAAGGACTTTACTGAACTTGGCTCTTTCTTTCTCTCTTCTCAGTGAGCCTCAGGCAATGTGTTATGTCGAAACAGCTAATCTGGATGGGGAGACGAACCTTAAAATACGCCAGGTAAAGTCGCCTCTGATGACTTATGTTATTTTGGTGGACCCAACTGCAAATGTGGTCCCCACACATCTTTTTCTAGAGAAACAAAATACTCAGCATAAAGGGTTAGGCCTTACCCCTAACGGAATCTATGGGAAGAATATGCCATCTGTGATGAGGGGGAACACGTAAAGAGAGCTGGAAAAAGCGGGCTGCATCAAACTCTAGTTCCCAAAGGGTGCCAGGCCTTCATATGGCGTCTTACTGAGTTTTTTGCCTCTGATGCTGGAGAGAGGGGACATCTCAGCAAAGCTGAGTGGGTGGGAAGGACACAGCTTAGTGGCCAAATGGAGCAAAAAGCTCCAGGTACCCCAGTTTACATTATTGTTGTAATAAAGATTCTAATCCTAGAGAGTGATATAATTAGATACAAAACTTCCGTGCCTCAAATAAAACTATTCTTGTCATGTATTTTAATTCTAGAATGAAGAATAGTGTTTTTTGGTTCTTTTTTTTTTTTGAGATGGAGTCTTACTCTGTCACCCAGGCTGAAGGGAGTGCAGTGTCGCAGTTTTGGCTCACTGCAACCTCTGCCTCCCGGGTTCCAGCGATTCTCTCACCTCACCCTCCTGTCTATAGGTGCATGCCACCACACCTGGCTAATTTTTATATTTTTTAGTAGACAGGGAGCTTCACCATGTTGGCCAGGCTGGTCTCGAACTCCTAAACTTAAGTGATCTGCCTGCTTTGGCCTCCCAAAGTGTTGGCATTATAGGCATAAGCCACTGTATCCAGCCAAAATGAAGAATGGCCTTTGACATATAACCTTTTTGAGGATTTTGACAATTAAAAAAATTTTGCTGCTTAAAGTTGAATTCAGAATTTCTGTCTATATGGCTTTCTTTTCTACCGTAGATATTTGCTTAAGACTTTTTTTTCCATTTGAAGAAGAGTTACAGCCTGGGTACCATAGCAAGACCCTATCCCTACAACAAAATTTAAAAAATAGCTGGGCATGATGGCACACACCTGTCGTCCCAGCTACTTAGGAGGCTGAGGTGGGAGGGTCACTTGAGCCCAGGAATTTGAGGCTGCAGTGAACCATGATTGCACCACTGCACTCCAGCCTGAGGGACAGAGTGAGACCCTGTCTTTTAAATAAAAAGAGAAGGATGCTAGATACTGTAAAATATTAAAGGGCTACTCTATTCTATTTTCATGACCAGTGTTAGAATACAGCTAGTAGATTGTCCTTGCTGTAGATGATGGAGTATGTTAACTATTACTTATGCGCAGACGTTTCCAGCACAGTGGCGGGATCTGAACTTTCGGCTTCATTAAATTCTTTTGCCATTTTCACATTAGATCGTTGTGGCAAAAGCTGCTGGGAAAGTCTGCCTTGAGGGGCTGACAGTTTGATTTGTTAGCTCCCCAAATTATTCCACTGGGGATGCCTTATTTTTCCTTTTGATTAACCACACGGACGCTGAACAGTGCCCCTAAACACCCAAGACTGTGTTTGATTTCCTCTTTTGGTTTAATCTTTCAGGGTTTGAGCCACACTGCTGACATGCAAACCCGGGAAGTTTTGATGAAGTTATCTGGAACCATAGAGTGTGAAGGGCCCAACCGCCATCTCTATGACTTCACTGGAAACTTGAACTTAGATGGGAAAAGGTAGTGTATTCCTTTTCCTTGTTGTCTGTTAAACTACGTGACCAAAAATTACTGGAGCTTTGGAAAATATGTTTGTTTTCTAGTTTTGTAATATCTTAAAACAGTGAGATTTCATACCCTTTCAATTAATTTAAAGCCTTCCTTAAATTTAAGAAAAAATCCCTGAGCCCAAGGTTCTCAGATGAGGCTCAAAGCATGTGGCATATTCTTTCTGTGCCTATTCTCTGCCAGGCAGGAGAAATGGTTTTAGCTTCATAAAATTGTCCAGAAAAGCAGAGGAGAGCAATCTGAGGTATATAAAAACTAATACACGTGTTACATAAATGTGTATTTTTTTTTTTTTGCGGAGCATTTGTTTGTTTTTAGAAAGTTGAGTGAAATGAATGCTTATTCTTCCTTTAGAATATTCAGTGCCCTCCCATCTATATCCTGTTATCTTTGTCCTTCTGGCATTCGTTATGTTGTTCTGAAGTTGTCTTTTGTTACGGTGTTGGGTTGTGGTTTCTACCTTCTGGCCATCTTTTGTTTTGTGCCTCTTGCCAATGCCCCCCACCCCCACCCCTGTAACCCAGCTTCTTGGGCTGTCCTTTATATTTTGAGGACCCAAGGCTTGGAAGGACCTGATCATGGGAATCAACCCAAATTACTATAAATATGACAGCTAAGTGTGAGTGCTTCTTGGTTTCATTTAGCACATATAACTATTCTATGGGCTCCCCATTTTGAATTTCTAAATTACCACTCAGGTCTTTATTTACTCATTAAGTCATCCTTGACAAACTTGATATGATAGATTGCTGCTTTTTTAAAAAAATTGCCTTCTAATAGTCTGTAAAATATACTAGACTTATTTTACAAATAATAATAATACTTATTACAAATGAGTAAGTTTCAGTTATTATGTTAGCAACTTCCTTTCTGGGTGTTGAGTTTCATAACAGGATCCTGAGAGAGATAATTCTCTCTAACATTTTATAGAAAAAACATTTTTTCTGTAGTGATGAATGGATAAAAAAAAGCTTTTTGTGGGTCTTTTTGGGATAGATTAAGCCAGTGGTAACCTTTGTTGCCTGCGTTTCTCAGTGAAGTATGGGAGCAAAGGGAACATTTGATATATTGTGGGTTCATTTTTAGGGGAAAAGCTCATGCTCATTTTCCAGACTATCATTTAATATCATTTTTTTATTTTTTATTTTTAGCCTTGTGGCCCTTGGGCCTGACCAGATCTTATTAAGAGGTACACAGCTTAGAAATACTCAGTGGGTCTTTGGCGTGGTTGTTTATACTGGACACGACACCAAACTCATGCAGGTAAAACATTACTGATTTCAGTCTTTTTTTTCTTTCTGCTTTTATTAACTAGAAGGTGGAAAATGCAGATGTTGCATTAGGAAGTTCAAGTCTGTCTATGAACCTAAATGTGGAAACAAACTGTCCTTGTTTTAGTTCCTTACGTAGTTTCTTCTGGATTTCTGTTCTCTTATCTGGTATTTGTGGCCTTTTGCCTGAAACACAAATGATCTTTGATTTCTAGATGTGGGGGAACATTCAGTTCTAACTTACTTTATCTTCTGGACTTAAGGGGGGATTAGTTCTAACTTTAAAATTTCTCTTTCTACTTTTCCTCTTTACCCCATTAATTAGGAGTTTATAGCAAATTGTCTTATTTAACTGAACGTTGGATACTTTAAAATCGGTTATTTTTGAACTGTTTATTTTTCATATACCAAAGAAAAAAATGAAGTTAAAATGATTTTGCTCTTTTTCCTTGTGAATGTTTTTTTTTAAAAATTGCTTGTGAATTTATAGGTCACATTGATATGATGATGTGTTTTGCCAGACAGTTTTGGAAATTCTACATAAATCAGTGTTCCTATATGTCATTTCTTACATTTCTTTGGTGTCACTTGGCATCTTGTTTTTGCTAATGGTGGCTATTAATGAGAATTGGCTTTTCAGCTTGTCTGCTCTTTTGTATAACTTCTAAAATGCATATTTGGCTGTATTTCTTGATTGAAAAATATTTAGGGACCACCATGTATCAAGAGTAGTGCTATAGACCATATGGGTGCAATAGCGAAAGGCCCAGTCTTACTCTTGGGGAGCCAGTCGAGCTAAGGACTCATATAGAATGACAAAGCAGAGAGAGAGATACTGGAATGTGTGTCATGACTAAGTGCTGTTAGTGTGTCTAGGAGGGCCATCCAACCTAGGTTTGGGGTACCTGGATGCTAAGAATGATTCCCCTGGCAGAAGCACATTTTAGATATTGAGCTAGGGAAGGGAGACTGTTGTGTTGATCCCCTCTTTGAGGTCAAATGATAGTCAGATGAAAGAGGTAACTATCAGAGGAGATGAAGCAATAGACCCTGGTGGCCACCCCAGCTAGTAAACACATTGAGGACTGGGAGAGATGAGATTAGAAGGGTTGAGAGACTCTCTGAAGTTGGAGAGGATTGCTGGAGTTGCTGAGTGACAGGCTGATCAGTGTGTAGAATCTTGTCTTTGTATTTCTGGGGTGGACAGTTTCTAGCATGAGAGAGCTGGGAGTGACCCATGGGAGTAGGAAGCCAAAGGCAGAGCTGTTGAAGGTTATTTGATGTTGACAAGTAAGGAACTGAGAGACTAAGGCATTTAATGGGTCAGCGCTGTAATTTTGAAGATGGGATAATAGTGAGGCTGGGCCACAGAGGAATGCCGTGAGCCGGTTGTCAAGTCTTCAGTGAGTGACAGGGAGCAACTGAGAGGTTGGTGGCCTGGCTATGGGGGAGGGGCAGAAGGTAGCGCAGCTAAATGGCATGAATTTTATGAGTGAGTTTTTTTTTAACATGTCATCCAAGGAATAAAGGTCCAGAAATATTATCAGGTTTTGAACATACATCTGGTAATGTTACCTTCAGAGGCCAAAGGATGCAGATATCTGCTTGCTCACCCTCTGCTTGGGTGTGCTCAAGGGAGGTGTGTCCTTGACTGTGTGAGGCAAGGAGGAGGAGAGCTCTTGAGGGAGTCGAGGTACAGAGAGAAGTTCAGGAGCTGGAATGGTAGGGCCTTAGTGCAGCGGGGCGGTTGCAGAGGTTGTGTACTGAAGCAAGGCGGGAGGGCTCCATGGCAGCTAGAAAAATGAAGACTTGGTGAATGCTGAGAGGCAGCTCTTGGGTAGATCAGGTTTTTTTAGTGTATCTGAGATGTGCCTGATCTATCGCCACTGCTAGGTCCTCATTCATTCACAAGGGCTGACTGGAATGCTTTAAATTTATTGTTTCTCAGCAGCCTGCATATGAAGACTTTATCTTGATGGATGGTTTAGTGCTCTAGCCATGCAAGAACTCAGGAGGTTGAGATTGGTGGACCAGTTGGGACCAGGAGTTTGAGACCAGCCTAGAAGACATAGTGAGACCCCAATAAAAATAGTTTAGCACCCTGCCACCTAGAAAGTGTCCTTTAGCTCCCATAGTGTAGCATCAGTAACCTCTGCTGAACACTTTTGGTGCTCTACTAACCACAGATCACTACTTCTGTTTTTTTTTGTTTGTTTGTGTTTGTTTGAGACAGGGTCGGTTTTCTTGCCCAGGCTGGAGTGTGATGAGGTGATCACGTGCCGCTATGCCTGGCTAATTTTTGTATTTTTTGTAGGGACAGGGTTTCACCATGTTTCCCAGGCTGGTCTTAAACTTCTGAACTCAAGTGATCCATCCACCTTGGCTTCCCAAAGTGCTGGGATTACAGGCTTGAGCCACCGTGCCCAGCCTACTTCTGTTTTTTTTTTTTTTTATGATGAAGTGGCAGAGATCATGGGTAGCTAGCTCACATTTGGTTAAGGTCCCAATACTAGTTTTAAGATTGTGCATATAATAAATTTAAGAACTTTCTAAAATTTCTTATACATTGGGGTTTTTTTTTTTTTTCAGGGTGTCATATTATGTTTTTCTAGAGCATACATTGGTAATACAGCTTTTGCTCTAGAAAAGCAATATTACAAGTATGCTCTAGAAAAACAATATTACATGAGTTAATTACACTGTCTTTTAAAATGCTCCAGTATCTCTTCAGTGAGTAAGGCATGCACTGGTTTTCCATTCTGTGAGCTTGAGAGGCACTTGTCCTTGCCCCTAGGTGTGATAAGCCTCTTTGCAAGGCTTCTTGTATGTTGATTCCTCTTGTATAGAATGATAGAAAACCCCAGAAACATCTGTGCTAGACCTGCTGTGTCTTTAGGGCTGAAACAACAGGTAAAAATCATGAGTTTTCAAAAGAAATATAACACACATAGCTGGAAGCCATCCTGTTTGTGAGATAACTATGTTTGTCTGTGCTTGTGAGATAACAATGTTTGTCTGTGCTTGTGCTACTTGACCACAGAGAGGAAACTCAATTGCTGTAGGGTTCTTCTACCCCTTTTTTTTTTTTAGGTCTCTTACCTCAATGCCTTTTGTCCTTCAAGTTTCCTCTAGTCCGTGCTTAGGTTACTTACATGCATAAATATTTCAGTCTACTATTTCTATTGGTTGATTTAATGGGAAAAGATTATCACGCTAATTACAGCAAACATAATTGCAACAAATCATGCACTATTCTGAGCAATGCACATGTATCAACTTGTTTATTCCTCACAATGGCTAGGTAGTATTGTGGTCATTTTACAGATGAGGAGACTTGAGGCACAGAGTGTCCTAGTAACCCAAGCTTACAAAACTAGTAAGATTCAAAACACAAGCAGTGTGGCTGGGTGTGGTGGCTCACCTCTGTAATCCCAGCAATTTGGGAGGCCGAGCCAGGTGGATTACCTGAGGTTAAGAATTTGAGACCATCCTGGCCACCATGGTGAAACCCCATCTCTACTAAAAATACAAAAATTATCTGGGTGTGGTGGCACATGCCTATAATCTCAGCTGCTCAGGAGGCTGAGGCAGGAGAATCACTTGAACCCAAGAGGTGGAGGTTGCAGTGAGCCAAGTTTGTGCTGCTGTACTCCAGCCTGGGCCACAGAGCCAGACTCTATCTCCCCCACCACCCCCCAAAAGAGGAATAAAAGCAGGCAGTGAACCTCTAGAGTCAATGTAACTCAGGGGTCCCCAAGCCCCAAACCACAGTCTGTGGCCTGTTAGGAACCAGGCCCCACAGCAGGTGGAGAGTGGCAGGTGAGCTAGTGAAGCTTCATCTGTATTTACAGCAGCTCTCTATCCTTTTCATTACTGCCTGTGCTCCGCCTCCTGTCAATCATCAGTGGCATTAGATTCTCACAGGAGCGTGAACCCTGCTGTGAACTAGACATGCGGGGAATCTAGGTTTCATGCTCCCTATGAGAATCTAATGCCTGATGATCTGTCACTGTCCCCATCACCCCCAGATGGGACCAACTAGTTGCGGGAAAACAAGCTCGGGGCTCCTACTGATTCTACATTATGGTGAGTCGTATAATTATTTCATTATATATTACAAGGTAAGAGTAATAGAATTAAAGTACACAATAAATATAATGTGATTAAATCACCCCAAAATCATCCCCATCTAAGTCTGTGGAAAAATTGTCTTTCATGAAATCAGTACCTGGTGCCAAAAAGGTTGGGGACAGCTATTCTAACTAGAATTCAGATTCATGTCGGATTTCAGCTTTTTCAAAATCTGACATTTTGACCTGTTTCTATTTATAATTCCATTACACTGAAGTAGCCAGGTTCTTTAAGAATTTTACAGAAGAACTTATAATGCCTGTAGGAATTTAACATTAAAAACTCATAATTGGGCCAGGTGTGGTGGCTCACACCTGTAATCCTAGCACTTTGGGAGGCTGAGGTGGGCAGATTGCCTGACCTCAGGGGTTCATGACCACCCTGGGCATTGTGGTGAGACCCCTGTCTCTACTAGAAATACAAAAAATTAGCTGGGCATGGTGGTGTGCACATGTGGTTCCAACTACACACGAGGCTGAGGCAGGAGAATCACTTGAACCTGGGAGGCAGAAGTTGCAGTAAGCTGAGGTCACACCACTGCACTCCAGCCTGGTGACAGAGTGAGACTCCATCTCAACAACAACAAAAAAAAGCTCACCATTGATCATTGCAAGTACAAATATTCACGAAGTGGGAGTGAGTAGGCTGAGGTTGGCTTTCCACAAAGTGCATGTGTTGAAGCCTGAAGTTTTGGGATAATTCCTCTTCTGTTGGATGAAAGATACATTTTTCTAGTCCTCCTAATTGGCTGGAATTCAACCACTGAAAAAGATCAGAAGTCAATAATAAATGGGGTCATAGAAATGAGGTTTGAAGTTTATGATCATTTTTTTCCTGCCTGTACATTTAGTAAATGTTTATTAAGAATGATAAGATCATGCTTAGTTTTTAAGAGTTAGGATGCACGGTCCTGGACTTGGCCTGCTGGCTCTTACCATGAGGCCAGATGTGGATGTGTTGTCCCAGTTGACCTTGGTATCATATTTTGATTGATGATAAGTTGGTGTTTACTAATGGATTTTGGTTTAGACTCCTGAGGAATTTTTTTTTAAGTTTGTAAAGGATGAATAATTTAGAGAAATAAAGTAAAAAGGAAAAAAGTAGAAATAAAGGAAAAAGCTGCTGTGTTGTTTAGATATTTAAAGGACTTAGCTTTTCAGAATCACCAGTGCAACCCCCCAACCCCTCTACCCCAAAAGAATACCAAGGGGAAACAGTACTTTTAGTTTAGCAATAGAATTCGTATAACAACTTCAGTTATGTGGTATAAATTTTTCTTGGAGCTTAGGAGTGAATTGCCTCATGTTTTCATCTCAATTTCATTTTCACATTGTGACTTTATTTGTATTCTTATCTTTGGAGACATTTTCATCACTAGATCAATTGAGACTAGTGAAGGAGAAGGCCGACTTCAGTTTGGCACAAGGTACCATTTTTTATGGTTAGTGCCTTAGAAACTTTCAGATCACCTGAATTTGTTCAATCAGTGTTGTCTCTTAAAAGCCCGGGCCCATGTTTTGTAGAAGGAGACCTGCAGGCTGGTACTCCTGTGCAAACCTCTCCCTGTCCAGTTCCTGGCTTCTGATTTAATTCAGGAATTATTTCACCTCTGGAATGGATTATAATTAATTCCCCTGTGGCTTTCCTCTCTTCAGTGTCTTCTTCCTCCATCAGCTGTATTACTGTACTGATTTCCTCTGGCTGCTGTGACAGATTTCCATAGTTTTTTTTTTTTTGAGAGAAGGAAAGAAAAAAAAGGAGTGAAGGAGAGGAAGAAAGAGGAAGAAAAAGAGGGAGAGAGAATGGAAATGTTGCTTTATTCTAAAAAAAAAAATGGGTATTAATAATGGCTAATCAATGTTTCATTTAAACCTATGAGTAGGTGTGATGTGGTATTGACAAGAATGTATATTTTGTGTATTTAAAGTGGAGAGCTCTATAAATATTTATTAAGCTTACTTGTTCCGGATCTGAGTTCGAGTCCTGGATATCCTTATTAATTTTCTGTCTCATTGAGTCTAAGTCTCTATGTATCTGGGTGTTAGGATCGTTAGCTCTTCTTGTTGCACTGATCCTTTTACCACTATATCTTTGTTGCTTTAAACTCTATTTTATCAGATACGAGAATTGCAACTCCTGCTTTTTATTTATTTATTTATTTATGCTCTCCATTTGGTTGGTAAATCTTTCTCCATCCCTTTGTTTTGAGTCTTTGTGTATCCTTGCATGTGAAATGGGTCTGGATGTAGCATACCATTGGGTTTTGGCTGTATCTTTTGATTGGGGGATTTAGTCAATTTAAATTAAGGATTACTGCCATTTGATGTTAACTGGCTGTTTTATCCATTTGTTGATGTAAATTCTTCTTTATGTTGATGCTGTTTACTTTTTGGTATATTTTTAGAAAGGCTAATACTGGTTGTTTCTTTCTATGTGCAATGCTTCTTTCAGAAGCTCTTGTAAAGCAGGCCTTGTGGTAATAAAATCTCTGAGTGCTTGCTTGTTCATAAAAGATTTTATTTTTCCTTCAGTTGTGAAGCTTAGTTTGGCTGGATATGAAATTCTGGGCTGAAAGTTCTGTTCTTTAAGGATGTTGAATATTGGCCCCCACTCTCTTCTGGCTTGTAGAGTTTCTGCTGGGAGATCTGCTGTAAGTCTGATAGGCTTCCCTTTGTGGGTAACCTGACCTTTCTCTCTGGCTGCCTTTATTATTTTCTCCTTTGTTTCAACCCTGGTGAATCTAATGATCATGTGCCTTGGGGTTGCTCTTCTTGAGGAATATCTTTGTGGTGTTCTCTGTATTACCTGGGGTTGAATATTGTCCTGCTTTTCTAGGTTAGGAAAATTTTCCTGAATAATATTCTGAAGAATATTTTCCAGCTTGGATTCATTCTCTTCGTCACATTCAGGTACACCTATCAAACGTAAATTAGGTCTTTTCACATAGTTCCACATTTCTTGGAGACTTTGCTCATTCCTTTTTATCCTTTTTTTTCTAATCTTGTCTTCTCGTTTTATTTCATTAAGTTGGACTTCTACCTCTGATATCCTTTCTTCTGCTTGATCAATTCGAGTGTTTAAATGGGTGCATACTTCTCGGAGTTCCCGTATTGTATTCTTCAGTTCCATTAATTCACTTATATTCCTCTCTAAATTGTCTATTCTCATTATAATTTCGTCAAACCTTTTGTCAAAGTTCTTAGTTTCTTTACATTGGGCTACAACATGTTCTTTTAACTCACAGAAGTTTCTTATTATCCATCTTTTGAAGTCTGATTCTGTTATGGGATGCACTTGTTCTCTATCAAGCCTTGTTCCCTTGTTGATGAGGAACTGTGATCCTCTTTAGCGGGAGAGGCATTCTGATTTTGAGTATTCTCAGCCTTTTTACACTAGTTTCTTCCCATCATTGTAAATTTATCCTCCTGTCGTCTTTGTAATTACCAACTTTCAAATTAGGTCTCTGAGTGGATGTCCAAGTTGTTAATTCCCAGGGTTGAAATATGAGCAACCCACTGCGCCGGCCAAAACAGCAGCGTTAAGACTGATGGTGCTTTTCTGCCCAGGAATCTCCAGTCTGGCTTCCTTCTTGAGTCCGTAATCGGCGACTCTGCCTTTCCAGAGCCCCAAACGTCGGTCAGAAGGGGAACCAGTCCTGTTTACTCTGCCCCAAGAGCTGCCGTGCCGAGGTGCCGGCAAAACTGCTGCGCTGGCACAAGAGTGGCGCTGGTGACCCATGCGGCTCCTCCACTGGTAATCTTCTGCTCCGCGAGCAACAAAAATTTGTCTGAAAGTGTGGCATCCTCTCGATCTCTGTGCTTTCACTGGAAGCTGCAATCCTGAGATGTTAGCGATCAGCCATCTTGGACCATTCTCCAGATTTCCATAGTTTTAGTGACTTAAAAATATGTGAGTTATTATGCTGAAGTTCTATAGGTCAGGAGTCTAATATGAGTCTTCTTGCACTAAAACTCGAGATGGTGGCTGCTCTTTTCTGCAGGCCTCCAAGGGGAATCTCTTTGATCATTTTTCTGTCACTACCTCTCCCTCTGAGCACAATTGGGAAAGGTTCTCCTTTTGATGACTCTGTGGTTAGATTGGGTCCATTGGGTAATCCAGGATAATCTTTCCCCATATCACAGTTTGTAATTTAATTTAATCCCATCTGCAAAGCTCCTTTTGCTGTATAAAATAACATACTCGGGCCAGGTGCCACGGCTCATGCCTATAATCCCAGCACTTTGGGAGGCCAAGGTGGGTGGATCACCTGAGGTCAGGAGTTCAAGACCAGCCTGGCCAATATGGTGAAACTCCGTCTCTACTAAAAATACAAAAAATTAGCCGGGTGTGATGTTGGGCACCTGTAATCCCAGCTGCTTGGGAGGTGAGGCACAAGAATCACTTGAATTTGGGAGGTGGAGGTTGTGGTGAGCCGAGATCACACCACTGTACTCTAGCCTGGGCAACTGAGTGAGACTGTCTCAAAAAATAAAATAAAATAGCAGGCTCACAGTGCCCCAGGAGTAGGATGTGGGCATCACTGGTGGGAGGGGTCATTACTTTGCCCACCACACTACCTTCAGATATTTTTAAATAAAATGACTCTTCCTTCTCCTACTTCTTATTCACAGTTCTCCAACTGAACTTTTTGTCCATCCACTTATTTTGACACTTATTAATGTTCTGTTTTACATTATTGATATGTATGTGTTCGTGTATGTCTTTTTATTCCTCAAATTCTGGGCTGCAGGAGGAAAAATATGTGCTTTAGAAATATCTCCCTGTATTTACTGTAGAGTTGTGCTGTTACTGTGAAGGTCTTCTCTAGAATTTTATGATATGGAATTTCTAAATTTCTCTGAATTACCATTGTTCTGATTTCTTTGAAACTGGACTCTATTTAGAACCTGTTGTGTTCTAAGATAAGCAAAGTGACAATTTTATGCTACGATGTAATCATAAGAAGTACAGAATGAATCATGTATTGTTGGAATGTGTTCATTAAACTGGTAGAGTATGTTGTCTTCATTACTTAAAACTAGCTGTTGATTCAGAAGCATGGTATACTTTTGAATTGCATTGATTATTTGGCCAAAAAATAGTCTTTTGCTTGTCGGTTGTTAAATATGATTGTTTTACCTCCTTTCCCCCAACCCCTTTCCCCAAATGTGTTCTGTGACCCTTACTGACTTTCAACGCCATTGTGTAGAATTCAACCAAGGCGCCTCTCAAGAGATCAAACGTTGAGAAGGTGACTAACGTGCAGATCCTGGTGTTGTTTGGCATCCTCTTGGTCATGGCCTTGGTGAGCTCAGCAGGGGCCCTGTACTGGAACAGATCTCATGGTGAAAAGAACTGGTACATCAAAAAGATGGGTAAGTGTCAGGGTGAGTTGCTCATTCAAGTGGAACAAAATCATCCTTGGGACATTCTTGCATGCATGGTTGTTGTATGGTGTCCCTGCTGTCCTTCTGTTCCCTTTGGTTACTGTATATAATGCCAGCCTTTCAAGGAGAAATGAGATTAGAATCATGTGATGAAGTGAAGATGGGCACATTTGGGAATTGATTCATACTCAAATGGTTATTTTTAAACCCTGTGTTAAAGTATTTTCTTAGTGGTTGCCCTAGGAGTTACAATGTATGTGTTAATTTATCTGAATCTGGCCAGGCGCGGTGGCTCACGCCTATAATCCCAGCACTTTGGGAGGCTGAGGTGGGTGGATCACCAGGTCAAGAGATCGAGACCATCCTGGTCAACAAGGTGAAACCCCGTCTCTACTAAAAATACAAAAATTAGCTGGGCATGGTGGTGTGTGCCTATAGTCCCAGCTACTTGGGAGGCTGAGGCAGGAGAATTGCTTGAACCCAGGAGGCACAGGTTGCAGTGAGCCAAGATCCTGCCATTGCACTCCAGTCTGGGTAACAACAACAAAACTCCATCTCAAAAAAAAAAAATTATCTGAATCTACTTTTGATTAATACTAACTTAATTCTAGTCAAATATAGAAATGTCACTCCAGTGTACCTCCATGTCCTCTCCTGCTTGATGCTGTCATTGTTATATTCCATTTATCTGTGTTGTCAACTCCAAAGTACAGTGTTATATTTATTGCTTTATATAATCTTATGTCCCTTAAAGAAGCTAAAGGAAGAAAGAAAAAAGTATATTGACAGGGTTTGTTGTTGTTGTTGTTTTGAGACAGAGTCTCACTCTGCTACCCAGGCTGGAGTGCAGTGGTGTGATCTCGGCTCACTACAACCTCTGCCTCCTGGGTTCAAGCAATTCTCCTGCCTCAGCCTCAGGAGTAGCTGGGACTACAGGCATGTGCCACCACACCTGGCTAATTTTTGTATTTTTAATGGAGATGAGGTTTCACCATGTTAGCCAGGCTGGTCTTGAACTCCTGATCTCACGCAATCTGTGCACTTTGGCCACCCAAAGTGCTGGGATTACAAGCATTAGCCACTGTGCGCAGCCAAGGTTGTTGTATATTAACATATTTATTTACCATTTCCAGGACTGTTCATTTCTTCCTCTGGATTTGAGTTATCAGCTGGTATCATTTCTTTGCTTCATGTATCTTCATTCTCTCCTCACTCCTTTGCACTGTCATATGTATTACATCTGCATATGAGTTCAACAATGCAATTTTGTGATGCTTTTTGCAATTGCTTTCTAAAAATTGAGAATATATAATTATACTATCTTTTATAAATACCTATAGAGTTATCATTACTAGTGTCCTTTATTTGTTTACGTGGATTTTAATTACTGTCTGGTATCTCGTCTTTCATCCTGGAGAACTTCTTAAGTATTTTTTGCCTTTGTAATTTGTCGGGTATATATTTGTTTATACCTTAGAGATATTTGTAACTATTGGGACTTAGAGATCCTATTTAAAAATGCCTTAATTCTACAGGAGAACAGGAGAGCAAAGTAGTATGTCAGGAAGAAAAGCAACCAGCAGGAACAACGGAAGGCTTGGTAGTGTGTAGGAAGTAAAAGGATTGTGGAAAGGTAAAACTACCGGCCAGCTCCTTATCTTTCCATCACAGCCACCCTCCAGAACTCTAATATGGAATCAGACTACAACCATTTGATGTAATTTTCTGGGAAAAAAAAAATCCCAGTAACTGTGCTTTGGAGCCATTACAATTCTCAAGCTCCTTCCAAGCCTAGCCTTCTGCTTCCTTTATTCTCATTCTAGTTCCCTTCACAGGCAGCTTTAATACCAGTTAAACCCTGTTGCAATGTTCCCTTTAAGCCTCTGCTAAGTTAAGAAGATCTCACTACTTTACCCTTCAAGCAGAAGATCGTGGCTGTCAAGGAAAGAACTTCCCCTTGATACCCCCAGAGCCTTTGCCCCTCTCTTTCTCCCCCATTCTCTGTTCTTCCTGGAGCTGACGCTGCCTCTGCTGTGGTGGACTGTATCCTCTAGGACCCTGTGCCATCTTTAGGAGTCTTGTTCCCTCCAGACATCTCTTCTCTTATCTTTAATTAGGTTCAAGCCGTCTCTCTCTTTGTCTGCTTCTCTTGTTCACAATTTTGTCCATCTTTGCAGCTCTTTGAGGTATCCCCAATACACTTGTACCTTAGTGAGGTTGTAGGCATTCCTTACAACCATTTCAAATGCCTGTCTTCTTTTCTACATTCTTTCAAGTTTGCTTCTTTTCTCTTCAAAACTTGACACCAGCATTTCTTTTTCTGGATAGCCTTCAGTGATCATGACTTCCTCCTAGAAAGCCTCCTGTAAGTGTCTCTTTAATAGATGCATCCTGATGCGTGGTTACATTGCGGGGCCTGTGTGCCTCCTACAGAAACCAGCCATTGAACTCGCAGTTCCTGACATATGGGAGGTACTCAATAACTATTTTAACATGAATCTCTAAATAAGCCAATAGACTTCGGTTGTGAACACCTTTCGGATACTCTGGTTTCTTTCCACAGACACAACTTCAGATAATTTTGGATACAACCTGCTGACGTTTATCATCTTGTACAACAATCTTATTCCCATCAGTCTGTTGGTGACTCTTGAGGTTGTGAAGTACACTCAAGCCCTTTTCATAAACTGGGTGAGTATTAAAGCAGAGTCGAATTGCTGTTCTCCGATGCTATCTCACATCCTTTGACATTTAACCGAGCACTCGGAAAAGAACTATATTCATTGACCATTAGGTCCAGGGGCTTAAACTGGCCATACAAAGAACTGTCCAGGGATGACCAGTGAGTGTGTTCCTGGGGAATGGAGAGGGCAGTGGTGCCTATTAAAAGGTTGTTGTGAAGATTGATCAGATAACGGGGTGGAATCCTGAGCAGGTGTTTGTCATCCAGCTGCACCTACTGTTGAAGCTTTTAACATCTAATTAGTGCTGAAGAAAAGGCCTCCTTCGTGTGTTTACTATAGTGGTCACTTGCATATCAAAATTCATTGTGACAGTCAACTTGATTTGATTGTAAGGATGTAGATAGGGTTTTTAAAGGATTGCCATGGTGCTTAAGCAGTGGGCTTCAGCAGCCAGTATTTGTAGAGCAGGCACTTTGATGTGCATTTTTATTTGGTCTTCACAACAATCCTGTGAAAAAGGTCAGAATCGTGAGTTAGTCTAGGTTGTGAAATGATCATCTTGAACCCAAATCTTTTATATACATTTCTTTTTTGAGATGAAGTCATGCTCTGTCACCCAGGCTGCAGTGCAGTGGTGCGATCTCAGCTCGCTGCAACCTCCTCCTCCCAGGTTCAGGAGATTCTCGTGTGTCAGCCTCCCAAGTAGCTGGGATTACATATATGCGCCACCATGCTCGGCTAATTTTTGTATTTTTAGTAAAGACAGGGTTTCACCATCTTGGCCAGGCTGGGTTCAAACTCCTGACCTCAAGTGATCCTCCCACCTCAGCCTCCCATAGTGCTGGGATTGCAGGCATGAGCCACCATGCCTGCCAATCTTCTGTATATTAATTCCATGCTTCCCCTTAAATCGCAGGGTTTCTCTATCCTAGTTGCCACTGTATTTCACCCCAACATTTAAAATGAGCATTTATATTAAAATAAAAGGGCTTTAAATTACCCATTCTTAGCTTCTTTTCTGTGTTAATCTGAATGAAGAATTAATGGTATCTATTTTCTGAAATGCTGTCTCTTGTTCTCTCTCTCTCTCAGGACACAGATATGTATTATATAGGAAATGACACTCCCGCCATGGCCAGGACATCAAACCTTAATGAAGAGCTTGGGCAGGTGAAAGTCTCTTTGGGAACTTTGGAAATGGTGACATGAGCATGAGGGAACCTGAGTGTTAGCAGAAGAACCATGGAGAGATTTTGCAAAAACACTTCTCCATGAACATGGCTAGAACATCTGAAGAGCTATGTAATACTTTTGAATGTGCTATTAAATATAAGTGTTTCTCAGTTTTTACTCGCTTTTCAAGACACAGCTATATCATATCACCCAGAAGTAACATGTAAAAAAGAAAGAAAGAAAGATGTAATATAAAAAATACAGTGCAACATCATTTGGGACCCTTAAAAAGGTATTATCAGGAGAAATGACAGGGAAAACAATGGCTAAGATACTCAGATATTGAGTAACCCTACAAAACATGTGGGGACCAGTGTAAAGGACGTATATCCCTCACATGTTCTGGGCTTTTTCTCTGGAATATTCTAGGGAACAGTATCTTTTCTGCCTTGATGCCTGAACTCCTCTTGCCTTTACTAAGTTGTGCTTTGCATCGTGTCTGTGTCTGACATTGAAATTCCTGTAAGGAATAACCTCTTTTTAAATGTTTATGTAATTTAATTACTTTATTTTTTCAACTTTTATTTTAGACTCAGGGGGTACATGAGCAGGTTTGTTATGGGTATATTGCGTGATGCTGAGATTTGGGATATCAGTGATCCCCTCACTCAGGTGCCTGAGCATCATACCCAGTAGTTTTTCAACCCTTTTCCCCAACTCTGTCTAGTAGTCCCCAGTGTCTGTTGTTCCCATATTTATGTCCTTGAATATGCAATGTTTAGCTTCCACTTAATAAGTGAGAACATGTGGTATTTGACTTTCTGTTCTTGCATTAATTCACTTGAGATAATGGCCTTCAGCTCTATCCATGTTGCTGCAAAGAACATGATTTCATTATTTTTTTCTGGCTGTGTAGTATTCCATGGTGTATATGCACCACATTTTCTTTATCCAGTCCACTGTTGATGGACATGTAGGTCGACTCCATGTCTTTGTTATTGCGAATATAGCTGTGATAAACATGCTGCGTATGTCATTTTGGTAGGATGATTTGTTTGCCTTTGGATATATACCCAGTAATGGGATTGCTAGGTCAAATGTTGTTCTGTGTTAAGTTCTTTGAGAAATCTTCCACTGCTTTCCACAGTGGCTGAACTAATTTACACTCCCCCCAATAATGGATAAGTGTTCCCTTTTCCATGTGGCATTGCCAGCATCTGTTGTTTTTTTGACTTTTTAATGATAGCCATTCTGACTGGTGTGAGATGTTATCTCATTGTGGTTTTGATTTGCACTTCTCTGATGATTAGTGATGTGGAATATTTTTTTACATTTTTTTGGCCACTTGTATGTTTCTTTGGAGAATGTCTATTCATGTATTTTGCTCATTTTTTTTTTAATAGAGTTGTTTGGTTTTTGCTTGTTCGGTTATTTAAGTTGCTTATATATTTTGGAAATTAGACCTTTGTCAGATGTATGGTAGTTTCTTTTGTTGTGAAGAAGCTGTTTAGTTTAATTAGGTCCTACTTGTTGATTTTTAAGGACTAACCTTTTTTGATGCATTACCATTAAAGATTTTTATTTTATTTTATACACCCTATTTAAACCCACCAGGAACCCTAAGGGGAGGGTGTTGTACCTTCATTTTATAGAGAAGAAAGGAGTAATTTATTGAAGGATGCCTGGTTATTCAGTGTCAGACTGGGGACTCCGGGTTGTCTGTCGAGATCTGGCCTTCCCAAGCTTTCCTGTCCGGTGTAGGAACGATACCATATTTCATCTCCCTGGCTCCTCAGCATCCCTCTGTGAAAATGCAGGTAACATGGCTCATTCATCTGAGGGTTAGGAAAACTCCCTTAGGCTTTCTTCGTTTTCCCTTCCTCAGGGATAAAGTGAATTCTGTGATGGTTTGTATATCATTTTTGAGTTTATTGTCAGAAAACTGAGGCTCAAGTTTGTAGACTAAAATAGAACTTTGTAGACAAAGAAAGCAGGTGATTTTGTTTCTTTGATATCATTTTCCGAAACGACTTAGAGTTAATTTTTATCTTTATCTTTCCTTAAATTGTTCATATTCATATAAGTGCTCTTAAATTCTTAGTATAACAGGATGGATTATTATTACAGAGACTGTCCTTGACACAGAGCGCAAATCCTCCCACCGCCTTTGGGGCTCTGGTCACATAGAGCTGGGTACAGCACCTAGAGCAGGGCTTGGACCTTGGGCATTCAATCCTCATTTGCTGTTGTTTTTGTTTATGTTCTCTTATTCTAGAATGGCCTTGTCAGTTCCCTTATCTGTAAGAATCAGTGAGTTCTTGGTGCATACCAGGCTAAATTTGCCTCCTCTTTGAACTTTTCCAGTTTTCTGGGCTTGGCTAGTCTGTCTTCTATGTTCCCATAACAGTATTTCCAAACATAAATACAGTAAAATAGGGGATAAGAGTGATGTAGTATCCATTTCTCTGTGGAGGCTGTGAGGGAGTGGGTGTGTCCTATGTAAGGTCTTTGGTTGCCTCTGTTAGTTTAGCACAGTGTGCAGTATATATTTGTTCGCAGGTGTCACTGAACTGGACCTGAATAATTCAAGGATTGAAAGTGTTCAAGGGGTACCCATGGATGCTTCAATAACTCATCCTAACTAAGGATGTGGGGAAAGTTTGCATGGGGAAGAGGTTTCGAGTTGGAACTTTAAGGATAAGTTAGAATTAGCTAATCTTAATAAGCCCTTATCATAAAATGTTCATTTTTAATTTTTTTGAGGCAAAGCAATGGAGAAGGATTCCATATTTAATAAATGGTGTTGGGAAAACTGGCCAGCCATATACAGAAAGCTGAAACTGGATCCCTTCCTTACACCTTATACAAGAATTAACTCAAGATTGATTGAAGACTTACATGTAAAACCTAAAACTGTAAAAACTCTAGAAGAAAACCTAGGTAAAACCATTCAGGACATAGGCATGGGCAAAGACTTCATGACTAAAACACCAAGAGCAATGGCAACAAAAGCCAAAGCAGACAAATGGGATCTAATTAAACTAAAGAGCCTCTGCACAGCAAAAGAAACTGTCATCAGAGTGAACAGGCAACCTACAGAACGGGAGAAAAATTTTGCAATCTATCCATTTGACAAAGGGCTAATATCCAGAATCTGCAAAGAACTTAAACAAATTTACAAGAAAATAACCCCATCAAAAAGTGGGTGAATAATATGAACACACACTTCTCAAAAGAAGACATTTATGCAGCCAAGAAACATATAAAAAATGCTAATCTTCACTGTTCATTAGAGGGATGCATATCAAAACCACAGTGAGATACCATCTCATGCCAGTTAGAATGGTGATCATTAAAAAGTCAGGAAACAACAGATGCTGGAGAGGATGTGGAGAAATAGGAATGCTTTTACACCGTTGGTGGGAGTGTAAATTAGTTCAACCATTGTGGAAGACAGTGTGGTGATTCTTTGGGGATCTAGAACTAGAAAGAAATACCATTTGACCCAGCAATCCCATTAATGGGTATACACCCAAAGGATTATAAATCATTCTATTATAAAGACACATGTACATGTATGTTTATTGCAGTACTGTTCACAACGGCAAAGACTTGGAATCAACCCTAATGCCCATCAGTGCTAGACTAGATAAATAAAACGTGGCACATATACGCCATGGAATACTATGTAGCCATAAAAAAGAATGAGTTCATGTTTTTTGCAAGGACATGGATGAAGCTGGAAACCATCATTCTTAGCAAACTAACACAAGAACAGAAAATCAAACACCGCATGTTCTCACTTATAAGTGGGAGTTGAACAATGAGAACACATAGACACAGGAAGGGGAACATCACACACCAGGGCCTGTCAGGGGTTGTGGGTCTTGGGAAGGGATAGCATTGGGAGAAATACCTAATGTAAATGATGAGTTGATGGGTGCAGCAAACCACTATGGCACATGTATACCTATGTAACAAACCTGCACATGTACCCCAGAACTTAAAGTATAAAAAAATATATATATATGTATATCTATAAAAAACTATATATATGTGTGTGTGTATGTATACACACACAAATACACACACGCACACACACACACACACACACACAAAGGCAGAAAGAATCCCTGTTTACTAAAAGGCAGATTCTACTAAATTTTCCATACCTCTAAGACTTTCTGCATGTAAAAACTTGTTTAAAGTGTTAATTACCCCTAGGATACTAATATTATATTTAGATGTAGTATTGGACTTCTTTAGGAGCTTTAATAACGTGAACTCCTTTTGATCGTTTTCAAAAAACTTCTCAGTGCATTTGTTTATATTATATCATTAAGAAAAATTACCGAGTGAGCAATTTATGTAATCAGTACCTGTTTTATACAACAGTAAAACCCTGCTTCCCTAGACCAGTTATCTGGGATTTCTGGAAGATGTCTAGCACTCAGCAAGTTCTGTCTCCTCTTTGGAAGACCACTGAGAAATTGGAGTTTCCTCTGGAGGCAATTCTGTTAATTACTCTCCCTCACTAATTCATGCCATCATTTCTCAAATGATACGTGTAGAATGATGGTGCATAACATTCAGTAGCACATCATTCAGTCAGAGCTCTTACTGCAGCTTCCTCTGCATATTCTGGTATGCTTTGACTATATCATTAGTTGTGGAAGAAGGTTTGTAAGCGGACTAAATACTAAAGTATTAATATATTTTTTGTTACTAATTAGCTTGCTTTAAGGAAATCTACCTGTTTCATACAGGTTTTGAAAAGTATAGACGGAAAGACTTCATTTATTGATCTTTGCATCTTAATACTTCTTGACATGTGTTTCTTCTATTCTTTGATTTAGGTGAAATATCTCTTTTCTGACAAGACTGGGACGCTTACATGCAATATCATGAACTTTAAGAAGTGCAGCATTGCCGGAGTAACCTATGGGTCAGTGTGTTTATCACTTACTGAACATTTACTTGTATTCTTTCAAGAAAATAAGTTTATTTTTTAGCAACTTAGTCAAATATCTTGACTTTCTGATGTTTTGAAAGGATCTTTATCCTTTCAAAATAAAAAAATCTGAATCCTTTACTGTGGATTTAGATATGTAGTTACTATGGAATGTGTTTATAACTAAATTGATCCCAAATTAAACTCTGAAGAGTTAAAATGTGGTTTATTTCTGCAAATATTAACTTGGTAAGAAGTCCCAGAGAATCTGTAAGTTTGTATATCTAATCAAAGAATTAGACATTTACTCATGTTTTGATCAGAATGTCTGTCTTTTGATCGCAGTTTTGTGACCACTCTGTTTTCCCCTTCTCTGACAGTCACTTCCCAGAATTGACAAGAGAGCCATCCTCAGATGACTTCTGGTAAGTAGATTCTAGCACTTCTTGACACTTTAGTGGAAAAGCCTTTGGAATAATTTTTATTTATTTATTTACACTTATTACATTTCTATTGCCCAGGCTGGACTGCGGTGGTACAGTCATAGCTCACTGCAGCCTGAAACTCCTGGGTTCAGGTGACTCTCCTGCCTCCGCCTCCTGAGTAATTAAAACTACAGGCATGCACCACCATGCCTGACTAATTTTGTAATTTTTTTTGTGGAGATGAAGTCTCACTGTGTTGCCCAGGCTGGTCTCAAACTCCTGGCCTCAAGCTATATTGAACCTCTTGGGTTGATCCTCCAATTTTGTTATTTTTTGCTCTCATTTTTAGTAATTTTTTGCTTTATTTTCTGGTATTTTTTTCATCTTGATCTTCTATCCTTCGTCATGAGTTTTTCGTATGCTCTCACTTTCAGTTTTTGAAAGTATTCCCCTAACCTTGCTTTTGCGTTCTGCATTTTCTCTGCTCTCTTCTCCCATCCTCCCTACCGCCCACCCATGGTGTTTTCATTTATTTTACATAGCCTTTCTTCAAAGGCCTGGTGATCATTAGCTATGTGCTCATATATTTTTATTATTTCCATTTGTATAAAATATATGTAACATAGTATTTATCATTTGACTTTTAAATGTACAATTCAGTTGCACTAAGTATATTCATGTTTTGCAGCCATCAGCATCATTCATTTCTAGAACTTTTTCATCTGAAACCCTATCTATTAAACAAAAATTCTTCATTGCCACCTGCCTCCAGACCCTGCTATCACCATTCTATTTTCTGTCTCTATGATTTTGCCTGTTCTAGGTACCTCGTGCAAGTGAAATTGTACACTGTTTGTGTTTGGTGTATTTCCCTTAGCATGTCTCCAGGGTTCATCTATAGTGTAGAATGTGTCAGAATCGCCTCTCTTCAGAAGGCTGAGTAAGATTGGATTGCATGTATATGCCATGCTTTGTTTATGTCGTCATCTGTTCATCGGCGTTTGTGTTGCTTCCACCTTCCGGCTACTGTGAATAACGCTGCTGTGAACACAGACATACAAGTATCTGTTTCAGTCCCTGCTTTCCATTCTTGGGGGTGTATGTCTAAATTTGGAATTACTGGGTCATATGGTAATTCTATGTTTGACTTTTTGAGGAAAAATCGTGCTATTTTCCATAACAGCACCACCTTTTGACACTCCTGCCAGTGATGCACAAGGATTTCACTGTGGCCACATCCTGGCCAACACTTGTGATTTTTCAGGTTTTGTTTGTTTTATATTAGCCATCCTAATGGGTATGAAGTGGTACCTTATTGCAGTTTTGAGTTCTCTTTCCCGTATAAGTAGTGATGCTGTCTGTCTGCACGTGTTTTAAAGCTTATATACAAGAAACCTGATTGCTAGGGTTGTGTGTGGAGTGGAGACACTGCGGTTGATGACTCCTTGCCTTCCGGGAGATTGATCTGCCAGGACTTACTAATGTATTAAGGGATTCCTGGATGTCAGTGTCTGTGGGTCTTCTTGTCAGCTGGTCAGCTTTCTTTTCATGAAAAGAACTTTCTAGTTTCCTGCCAAGGGCTATGAATTTGGTGGCAACCGTTTTGGAAGCTGCATGGAGACAGTCGGCCAGTGATTGTGCCTTTCAGCATATATAGAATTTCACTTAAAACTCTGCTTTGGGAGGATGCCCTAGCCTACTCACCTGTGTGCCTGTGTGCCCAGTGCCCCTGGGCTCAGGACTACTCTGGTTTAATTTCTGTAAAAGATTAGCATTTTTTTTTTCTGGCTGTGGAAGATTCAGTAGTCTGGCTGCATGGGATGCAGGAGGGTTCTTGAAAGTTGAGTGTTCCTCAAGTGGATGTGGAGCCTGTGCTGTCTTCCTCCTTCCCTTATCTCACAGATGCTTGTATGCCATTTGCTCCACCTCCCCAGTGCCCTGTTGAGGGCATCAGCTTGCATTTTAGGTGCTCCTCTTTGTGAGCTGTTGATTGCTGTTTTCTGATATCCATTTAGAGCTAAGACTGGCATACACTGTGCTGTCATGTCTTCTTTCATTGTCTTTGTCTTGACAATGTTGAAGTTTCAGGAGGGGGCCGGGCACGGTGGCTCATGCTTGTAATCCCAACACTTTGGGAGGCAGAGGTGGGTGGATCACCTGAGGTCAGGAGTTCAAGACCAGCCTGACTAACGTGGTGAAACTGTTCTGGAAAATCTTACCTGACAAGAAACCCAAGCAGCACTCGGGATCGGAGGAACATACTTTATTATGCTGGCAGGCCCAGAAGGGTTTGCACCCAAAAGTCTGGACCCCAGCTAAGAAAAGAACACAGTTTTTATAGGTAAAGGGGCAAGGGAAGTAACTCAGAGCTTTAGACAATGCAGCAGGTATTAGACAATGTGGCAGTTTCCCTTAAGGTTTTCCAGTTAGTAAACAATAAGCTAATGTATAGAAGCACAAAGAAGCAGTTACTAACAAAAATAGAGACAGTCTCCAAATAGGGATGGTTGCAAACAACTTGCTGACAAAATTCTGGGCAAAATTTCCACTTCAAAACCCCATCTCTAATAAAAATACAAAATTAGCCGGGTGTGGTGGCACGCACCTGTAATCCCAGCTACTTGGGAGACTGAAGCAGAATTGCTTGAACCTGGGAGGTGTAGGTTATGGTGAGCTGAGTTGGTGCCATTGCATTCCAGCTTGGGCAGCAAGAGTTAAACTTCATCTCAAAAAAAAAAAAAAGTTTCAGGAGGGAGTGGAGATAAATGAATATGCAGTTGATCCATCACGTTTTCTTCATTGTGATAGCTCAAGCCATCATATCATTTCCTGTCTTGTAATGATTTGTCGTCTTCCCTCTCCTACGTATGAGCTCTGGCCATAAATGGTTGCATGTATACAGTGCGATGCTTCCTTTTGTTTTACTTGCTTTGAGCAGACACTCTTGGAAGTTTTCTCTGGTAGAAGTGATTCAGGGACCAATTGAAATGACAGTTATAGTATCGATCCCTGGCTTCTGTTTCTTCTCCTTGTAACTATTGTTCCTTGTAACTGTTGTTGTTAATAATAACTCATAAAATATTTTATTTATAGTAAGCTCCAGGATTATTGTTTTGAGGTTTGAAATAATAGCGCAGAATTCCAAGTCTTTAAAAGTTTAGTGTGAATCTCTGTAGGACTTGAAGTGTGGTTTTCTTCCGGAGGGCAGATTCTTTCTTGGTTTGGGTTAACTTAACAGAAACTTTTGAAATGAATAGATCTTCTCTGTTCTCTCTTACAGCCGGATGCCTCCTCCCTGTAGCGATTCCTGTGACTTTGATGACCCCAGGCTGTTGAAGAACATTGAGGATCGCCATGTAAGTGCTCTGTTTCACTTTGAAGACAGCAAATAGATACGGTGCACCTTTTAAAAATATATGTGTGTAGTATTTTGCAAGTTGCAGTTTTAAAGCCTGGGAAAAGTCTTGATTTGATGGTGTGAGTCCTTCTAAGAAGTGATCTTAGACAAATGCTTTGTGGTGAACGCTGTGCATGAATTAGTGTATTTAAATACGTGGTGACTTTTTTTAAAAGTAGCACACCAAGGTTAAGGCAAGTCTTACCACAAGATTCTGTAACAGTTCCAATTTCTGTTGCTTTGTAAGATTTCTGCAGTGCTGTTTTGTCACAGTTGTGAATCTAAGAGGTCAAGTGTAATTGCATATCCTTTGACTAGGCTACTTTGGGAAACAAAAGTAAGATATGTGTAATAACAGGTATTGCATTCTACTGTGTGCCAGGCAATTAACATCTATTTCCTTCAACATTTTAGTCAGCATTTGAGTCACATCTGGGAGGTGACAAGGAAGTTAAATAAAAGATTAAATTGGCCATTAGTTACCCAGGACATAAATATGAAATGAGCCTTAAACCGCAGTCTGTTCAATTTTTAACTGTGACATCACAGCACTTCAAATCAGCATTAACTGCAGAATCGCATCAATCGGCCGTTATTTATTTATTTTTCCATACGTTATTGGGGAACGGGTGGTATTTGGTTACATGAGTGTGTTCTTTAGTGGTGGTTTGTGAGATTTTGGTGGACCCATCAACTGAGCAGTACACACTGCATCATGTTTATAGTCTTTTATCCCTTGCCTATCTCCCACTCTTCCTGCCAAGTCCCTAAAGTCCATTGTATGATTCTTACGTCTTTGTGTCCTCATAGCTTAGCTCCCACATATCAGTGAGATCGTACAATGTGTGGTTTTTCATTCCTGAGTTACTATCTTAGAGTAATAGTCTCCAATCTCATCCAGGTCACGGCAAATACTATTAATTCATTTCTTTATGATGGTCGTTTGGGTTGGTTTCACAATTCGCAGTTGTGAATTATGCTGCTGTGATCATGTGTGTGCAAGGTTATTTTCCTCTGGGTAGACACCCAGTAGTAGGATTGTGGGATCAAATGGTAGTTCTACTTTTAGTTATTTAAGGAATCTCCACACTGTTTTCCATAGTGGCTGTTCTAGTTTATATTCCCACCGGCAGTGTAGAAGTGTTTCCTGATCACCACATCCATATCTACATCTACAGTTTTTTGATTTTTTTATTACGGCCATTCTTGCAGGAGTAGGGTGGTATGCCATTGTTGTTTTGATTTGCATTTTCCTGATCATTAGTGATGTTGAGCATTTTTTCATACATTTGTTGGCCATTTGTATATCTTCTTTTAAGAATTGTCTATTCATGTTCTTAGCCCACTTCTTGATGGGATCGTTTTTTTCTTACTGATTTGTTTTGAGTTCGTTGTAGTTTCTGGATATTCGTCCTTTGTCAGATGTATAGATTGTGAAGATCTTTCTCCCACTCTGCGGGGTGCCTGTTTACTCTGCTAACTGTTGTTCCTTTTGCGGTGCAAAAGCTCTTTAGTTTAATTAGGTCCCAGCCGTTTGTCTTTGTTTTTATTGCATTTGCTTTTGGGTTCTTGGTCATGAAATCCTTGCCTAAGACAACGCCTAGAAGAGTAGTTCACTGTTATTTTAAAGGGTACTCTGAAAAATGCCAACTTAGAAAATTATTCAGTGATCAAAGCATTTCACAACTAGTTGTTAGTGTAAGTTAGATATGATGTGATTAGTTTTGTTTCTGAAAAACATTTCTAGATTTAAAATTAGGTAAGCATGAGAAAAATTAAAACTTATCTTTTCAAATTTCTGAAATTTTAAAGAGACAGATATATTGAAAACTTTTTGTAAGTTTTCATGAGGAAATCCTGCTTTTCTCTTTTGCAATTAGTGCCCATTTGCTGCTAGCCATTCTGAAATGTGGGTGTCTAAGGTTCCCACACCCACGGGCTGTGATGCTGCTATTCTGACTCAGTTCTTGGTGAGGCTGGTGAAGTAGTCCAAGCCCACAGAGGATGCTGCTGGAGTCTATGTTCTGTTTCAGTCACAGACAGCTCAGAAGTCCTTTCTTGGATTCTGATCTTAGAGGTAGATCCAGCCTCTAGCCTAAAGGTTCTCCAAGCAGAAGAGTGGTGCCTCTGAAGAATCATCTCGGCAGGAAGGTGGTTTTAATCAAAGATGTCAAAGAAACAAGTGTACTTTGAGTACTCAAGAGGAAACAAGTGTTTTCAAATAGTATTCAGGTCGAGGGTAACCACAAAGGTGGGCAGCTGAATATATCTGTTCAAGTTGGGTTGGTGACTGGAAAAGGAGAAAGTGGCAGGGTGACGTAGGAGCTCTGGAGACTGCTCTGGGTTCAGTTTCATGAGTTTGCTTTCCTAGATCTATAAGGAGAAAGTAGCAGAGGAAATAAGATGAACACAGTGTATGGAACATCACAGAATTCCAGTATTGGGCTAGGAATAGCAGCAAATGATTGGATCCCCATTTACATCAGAGACTTCATTTATTTATCCACTCATTTCACAAACAGTTTACAGCAAACCTAATTTATATAAAATACCTTGCTCTCAGTACTAGGGGAAGAGATGAATTAAAAATTACCCAAGGGATACCTGTTCACTGGGGAAGCAGATACGTAAAGTTCTTAGGAGCTATAGTACGCGTTTGCAGGATAGGTAAGGTGCAACTCCCCAAGGAAGTGATTTTGGTTTGTGTAGACAGAGAGGAATCCCATTCTCTTTGGTGACTGTCATGGCTACCACAACATGTGAGCAGTGTGGCCACCCACACAGAATGGTATTTGCACTGACACAAAGGTGGGATGGCATAGAATCTCAGTGACCTGGGGCAAATTCTTATTGGAGAAGAGCTCCTCTGGGGACCCCCTACGTGCTGCTGGGATCAGAGTGTTTGAAAGATTTCAATGCTTGGCTCAGTTAATTTCTGACTCTCACAGGTGTTCTCTCCAAAGCTGGCCCTGGACTGGTGTTTTGAGTCCCTGTGAAGTTTTGGGGTTTTGACTGTTCATCCCACACTCTTCTTCAGCCTGTCTCTGTTGATGTTTGAATGAAGATCTGAGCACAGCTAATACCTCTCCCATTGTCTACCTTCCTGAACTAAATTGCCTTTCAGTTTAATGAAAAAGGCATTGAGAGCAGGGACAGCTGCAACCTCTGTGAAAAGGAAGTGCTGTCATGGGTACATTATGATGAAGATCCAAACACAGGGACTTTGGAATTTTAATCTGGATACTCATAGTTTCAGTACAAGCATAATAAGGAATTGATCGATTGATATGGGAATTTATTTCCTAATTTTCAGTAAAAGCCTCTGAGCCTAGGTATACCATTTTTAAGTTTTCTTTGATCCTTGAGGCCTTCTGAGGTAGTCTTCATCTTAGCTCCTGTGTAATTAAACTCTTTGACATTTAACATCTAGCTCCGCTATAATAACAAAGACCATAGAATAGCCTCCAATATTTTTCTTTGAGGAGATGTGGGATTGAATTACATGTACCCATTCAATGTTTTTAAGCAGTTTAAACACAGGGCCTATTAGATTACTTGTTCATTTTGCCAAAATGTTTGGGGAGAGGAAAGAAGTATTTGAGGATTTGAGGTTGCACATGCCCCACCTTCTCATCTAAATTGTCTTGGGACTATTGACGAAAATTAAAACATTTGGCTCAAGAAAACGCTTACTTTCCTCCCGAGGGAATACTTCCACTTGCTACAGAATTTTCTTTTTTTCCTATGTCATCATTTCAGATTTTCTGGGTCCTTTAGGACTATGTTAAGCTTTGTGTGGGCTGATAGCCAAGATGGAATTTGGCTCTTAGAGAATCAACCTGTGAGAAATTTCAGAGGACAATTCATGCACTCCCTTGCTTACATTGCTAACCAGTGTGTGGGATACATTTCCTAAGGTTCACCAAGGAAGAAGATATAACTTTCTTTTGAATCATTATGCCTAAGATTTTTGAGCTTGAATCTTAAAGAAGAAATCATATATATATATATACACACACACACACACATATGTGATTTGGATAATTTGTGCCTGCAATTTGGCTTGCAAAACAATTTTAGATATGTATCATTTTCTGCTATTTTAAATTCACCTAATATATCGAAAATATCTGAATCTACATATATGGCATTTTGTACATATTAAAAACTATTAACTGAAGGAAAAATATTGTATGATTCTGTTTATATGAGGTACATACAATAGACAAATTCATAGACACAGAAAACAGAATAGAGATTACTGGGAGTAGAGAGAAGAGAGAATGGTGAGCTGTTGTTTAATGGGTACAGAGTTAATGCTGGGGAAGATGAAGTTTTGCATATAGATAGTGGTGATGGCTGTGTAGCATTGTTGAATGTATTTAAAATGCCACTGAATTTTATACTTACAAATGGTTAAATGATAAATATTACAAGTATAGTTTACCACAATAAAAACTTTTAACTTCTAAGAAGACACACATATACACACACACACACACACACACACACACACACACTCACACGAATACAAGCATCCATAGGCTTCTGATTAATTTGGTCTCTTCTCCCTAATTTATTATAGATTGCAAAAGGAAGAAAACCAATGATAGGTTAATTTTATATTAGGATTACAAAATATGAATTTTGTCTGGCTTACCATTCAAGGTAGAAAGCTCAATTTGTGTGTGCAATTCTTTATAACTCTTAGAAAATATTTCACTATTAGGTTTATTTATTTGTAAAATTTTAGACCCTTTTTATATTGTTTCATTATGGGACAAGGTTATGTTCAGGATTGGATAGTTCTCAGGTATAGAAGAAGGCAATCTTGAATTGAAGCTAAATTCTTACATGAAGTGCTTTTGAGGAAAATATCTTACCATTTTTGCAGTGTAGGCTTTGGGGAATGTGTAGATTCCTTAAGCTCACAACTTCACTGAACTATAGTTTAATGTGCATTCTTTTCATGATAAGAAGTAGCCATGTGAATAGTTGTGATTTGCCTCCATAAAATTTCTCTAAAGTCACATTCACAAGACAGAGAAGAGATTAAAAATATTCTTATGGAATCATCATGCATTTATGACTAAAAAAGCAAGAACTCCATAAAAAGAGGAAGCACATTGCTGCTTCCTTCACATGAAGATATAAATCTATCTCAATTTTATAGCCAGTTGCCTATTTAAAAGGGATACATTAGAGACAGTGACATTAAAATAATAAAATAAGGAAGCTTGGTTATCAGCCCTGCCTTGAACATAATTCTGGAAGTGTTAGCTCCTACAGACAGGTGAAAACCGAAAGTTTATATATTGGGAGGAAAAGGGAAAATTCTCATTTGTGGATGATATAGCTGTCTACCTTGAAAACCTAGGATAGTCAACTGGAATTCAGAGAATGAGTAGAAGCTCAATAACAATTGGATATTAACTTACAAAAACCCATGTTTTTACTTACATCTCAACAAGCAACTACTGTAAAATGTAATGGAAGTAAGATTCCATTCATAGTATAAAAGGCAATAGATAAAATGACTCACAAAGTACTTCATGTACAGTGGTCACTGGAATTTTTTTTTGAGCAAATAAAATAATTAATAGACATATTCCAGGTGGTATATTTAGAATATTTAGAAGCTTTTAATACATAGGAAGACACATTGTTTTCTTAGATGGAAGACAGCATTATTTTCCCACTAGTTATATATGTGTTCTAAACCCAATTAAAATTATACATTTTTTTCCCCAAAGAGAATAAAAGAATTTTATTAAATACATATCCAGGGCAATTCTGGTTTTTGTTGCTGTTTAATAGTAATGGGTGAGAGATGCCCTGCTTTACAGATGTTGAGAGATTACACACTTAAGGAGTAGACACTGTATTGAACAGATGTGGGAGAGGATGGGGCACTGGAGATGGAGCATCTTTTGTTTGTGGGGCCTGGGGTACAGCAGTGAGGGGAGTGGAACACATGCTTCCAGGGGATCATGCAGGAGTGAGGTAGTAGCACGTGGGTGAAACAGAATCACAGGGAGGCCGGGAGCACGTGGGGAGGCGGAAGCATGTGGGCAAGAGCAAGCAGGTGGGCGAGGCCAAGGCTCATGGGACTGCAGGGTGTGAGGAGGTACAGGTTCTTTCCTCTTTGGTCTCCCCATCTCTTGAGCTAACGTGCAGGAGCTGCATTCCAAGAAAAGCCCAGGGAGGAGAGCATGGGAGAATCAGCTTGGGGACCCCAGACCAGAGTGCTAGGAGGGGGATCAGAAGTCCATATTAACTACCTCTATTCTATCCAGCAGGGGGGCAGTAGGATGACTGAATGTTAGGTGGGGATCTGTTTGTGTGAGCCCTGGTGCCTGTTGAAGGTGGTGTAACTGACAGTAATCCCGCCTCACGTTTGCAGCCCACAGCCCCTTGCATTCAGGAGTTCCTCACCCTTCTGGCCGTGTGCCACACAGTTGTTCCTGAGAAGGATGGAGATAACATCATCTACCAGGCCTCCTCCCCAGGTGAGGGCTCTGGCCGGATACACCCTGCTGGCCCCTTTTCAGGAGACCTGGGTGTTGCCGTCATTCTTGGAGATGCTGCGGTGTAGCCTGCCCCACAGATCCGGCTGTCTGTTGCTGGCCTCACACTGTGGCCAGGCTGTGGCTACAGGTGTTAAAGCTGTAGAGAGCCCAGGATGGGCACTCCTGACTCTCATAACCCTTTAACAGCAAAGGGAGGACCCTGGTCAGGTTGCATTTCCCAGCAGAGGTGATTGGGCTTGACAGAACTCAGAAGACAGAATGGAGTTGGTTTCTTCCTCATCTCCCACATCTCTTAGATTATCCACCTGCTGGGGAAGCTGCATGGGGGTACTCTTTACCCACTTCCTGGGCTTGGGAATGCCACAGCACAATTAAAACACTGCCGGGAGGCCGAGGTGGATGGATCACGAGGTCAACAGATCGAGACCATCCTGGTCAACATGGTGAAACCCCATCTCTATCAAAAATACAAAAAATTAGCTGGGCATGGTGGCGCGTGCCTGTAATCCCAGCTACTCGGGAGGCTGAGGCAGGAGAATTGCCTGAACCCAGGAGGCGGAGGTTGCGGTGAGCCGAGATCACGCCATTGCACTCCAGCCTGGATAACAAGAGTGAAACTCCGTCTCAAAAAAAAAAAAAACAAAAAGAACACTGCCTTGCTGGGAGGAGATATTTGGTGGGAATCGTGGGACTATTACTTAGGCTAATTGGAGAGAACTTGACCCCAAGCAAGAATAGCAGGAATATAAATCATTCTTGCCCTGGTGAATTAGCATGGACCCAAGTCCCCCCTCTAACAGAAGTGCTCATTTCAGAACCCTGGTGGTAGGAAGAGCTTCTCCACCCTGAGTCCTTACCACTGTGCAGATAACACCAGGCCTCCAGTAGAGTGGGCTTTGTTAATTTGAGAAGTGACACTAAACAGAATTCTGTCATTACCAGTGACATGTCAGTGTTTCACCAACTCCCAATTCACAGATGAAGCTGCTTTGGTGAAAGGAGCTAAGAAGCTGGGCTTTGTCTTCACAGCCAGAACACCATTCTCAGTCATCATAGAAGCGGTGAGTAACACACGTGTTCACGTTTCAGATCACCTGCCTTTGAGAAGCTTGTGCATGTGAAATGCCATGCCTGTTGTAAATATAACAGCTAAATGTCTCTTTTGGTGAAAAATTAGACCTGTGAAAAACTGGAGTTAACATGATTATATTAGCTTGTTGGAGGTGTTTTGCATTGCAGGACTTTTTCTCCCTTAAAGATGCTTTTCCACGTATCTTTCATACACTGATGTGAAATCCTTTGTAGCAAAGAACTTCACAAATCTACTCTTTGTTCTATAATAATTGGGAAAATAACTTAGTGGCCCACTTTAGGGCAGGTTCTGCGTCTCTTTGTAGCCTCAGAGCCTAAGAGTTCTTAATCAGTGGGGCTTCACAGTCCACTGGGCTTCAGTCTCTTCAGCTGGGAGAGGAGTCAGAGCTTAAGACTTTTGTTGGTGTTGTTTATATGGAGTCTCACTCTGTTGCCCAGGCTGGAGTGCAGTGGTGCAATCTTGGCTCACTGCAACCTCTGCCTCCCAAGTTCATGCAATTCTCCTGCCTTGACCTCTCAAGTAGCTGGGATTACAGGTGCCCACCACCAAACCTGACTAATTTTGGTATTTTTAATAGAGACTAGTTTTTGCCATGTTGGCCAGGCTGGTCTTGAACTCCTGACCCCACCTGCCTTGGCCTCCCAAAGTGCTGGGATTATAGGCCTGAGCCACCGCGCCTGGCTTTGATCTCTTTTATCTGTATGAGGGATCCCCCACTGCAACTGAAGTCAAGGGGTTTATACATTTTCTGATTTTCTTCTGAGTTTCCCTACCTACAGGCCAAAGGGAGAAATTTAGTGATAGGAAAATAACTGTATCAAGAAGATCAAATATGGACCATTCGAATGGGCAACAGGGGAAAACGACGGTTAGGACTGGTGAGGCAGTGGTGTTTTTCATGATGACCAGTTAGAAGGGCTGTTTTATTTTTGTCTGGATTGGTGATGAGGGTCTGAGGCTAGTCCCTGCCATACCTTGCCTTTCCCTATTCCTCCATTTGGGAAAGACTCAGGGATTATAGTTTTTGGGTTTGTGGATGCATTCTCAAATTCTAGACCTTTAATGCATTTTAAATTCGCTTCCAAACAGTATACTAACTGACGTGGCAGTACTGTAGTAAGTTTTTTCTTTTAGTTATATGTAAAACCTATAAAATATCATATCTTGTAAAATAAAAATGGCACATAAAAGTGCCCATTTATTGGCGTCTTCAGTTTCTTACGGAGTGCAGAGATGAGATCGTGTTTACTTTTACCCGGCTTATTTTAGTCAACGGAGGGAATTTAGCTTTGGGAAATATACCATCATTAAAAGTGGAATGAAGTACTGATTGACTATAGAGTTCCCTTACAGAAGTGTTTTAAAAATGAGGCCTTTCCCCTCCTTCAGTTTGAGGAGACTTTTAATCTTAACTGTAGGATTTTCAGTTGTGTGGGTGCTGCCGCATGTCTCTGTATTGCAAAAATGGAGGTTGGGGGTGGGGGGCTCACATCATAGGTGGGAGAAAGAAGAGAACAGGAGCTTCTACTTCACTCACTACACCAGATAAATAAGGAATCTAGAGAGCTTATTGGTGTTGTCCTCCTGGTATTACATGCTGGATTGACACCTCTTTGTTACCTCATTAACGTTTTAAGGTCATATTTCTGGGGGTCACAAAAGACTACCTGATTAGTTAGGACTCATAAATAACAATAATAAAAAGAATCCTATTCAACCATTTATCAAACCACCAATTCTCAAATTAGGAAAGAAAAAACCTACTGCATTATTACCAAGTCAGGAAAAAATTCTCAAATTCCTATGTATTTGCATGAAGTGTCCTCACCAATAATCATAACAGCTGCATCCATGGGCTGCATGCAGTGTGGTTGATATAACCGTGGTGCAGAGAGGAGGTGGCTCCTGGGAGTGGCAGCTCTGGTGCTGGGTGGTGGTAGTAGCACTGGGTGTCTTTTGAATGGGGATATGATAGAAAGTAGGGACAGGCTGAGGAGAAAGGAAACGCGGAACTCATGGATCCAGAGAGGTGAATAAAGATTGATGAAGGCTGGCGGAAGTGGATCATTAGTTGTTTTATAGGATGCAAAGAGAAGGAGTGGGGAGTTGTGGGTGTGAAAATGATGCTTCCGTCATATACTTGGTAATTTGAATGTATTACTTCATTGATTATTTCTCTCAGCCCTAAGAGATGAGTGCTTTTGCTATGCCTAAGAAAGTCACAGACTTAAAGACAGAAACGGGATTCAAACTCACATGTAGTCAATGCCAAAGGCCACATTCTTTCCACTGTGAAGTGTTGGGGAAATGGAAAGATTAGATTAAAAATTTGAAAACATCATACACATCATCTGGAATTTTTAGATGGGAAAAACCTGTGACTTATGACATTCGAATTTAAAAGAATGCAAAGAAAAAGAGCATTTGATTGGTTGCTCAGAGACCAGGTACAGATTCACCATCTCTTACCTGCAAATTCAAAACCCAAAGTGCCTTTGAATTCCAAAAGATTTTTTCTAAGTTTGGCGAATAGTTATTTGGCAGCAAAAACTAATCAGAACCAACGTGAGGCTGTTTGTCATCTTTATTAATCCCACTTCTTGTGATACGCATACATTTTGCTGTGGAAAGTGGATGTGTTGTGTAGCAGCATGTTACCCCAGACCCTGCTGGGGACATTATGGCGGATAGTCTAGGATGTGTGTATATATTTATGAAATTTGTAAAATCCTGAATTCAGAAGCATAACTGGGCCCAAGGTTTTTGACAAACCCGTGCAACTGGTGGTGTCCTTTATCACCTTCTCTTGGAAGTGGCTACACCAGACAACTGTTAGGACAGCCATTAGCACCGAAGAAACATGAGAAGCTTCTACCAGAAGAGGGAGCTCTTACCCCATCAGACTTGTGAGAAAACACTACATGTTGCAAGGGATTAGAAGGTGGGAAGAGAGAGCGGGCATAGGTCTGTTTATGCTTGGGAGACAATTCCTCTGAGAGTTTAATACTTTGCACCTCAGGTAAGAGCCTATTTTTCTTCCTTTAGATGGGCCAGGAACAAACATTCGGAATCCTTAATGTCCTGGAATTTTCTAGGTATGTTTCTCTTCGTACAGTTGAAATAAAATACTTATATTTATTTACCAACTTCATCAGAGTGTTTACATGACTATATGCTATGATTAAATATAGTTCTTAAGTATTAAATATAATAAATGTATCTCCATAAACTCTCTTCTCCTTGAAATTTGTGACTGTCATTAAAGAAAGTGAAGTAGATTATTTTTCTTTGTTTTATTCAAGAGAAATGCTCTAGTTCTGTGTCCTCCTTTTTCTTTAGATTTCCAGAGCCTGATGTTCTTGCATCAGCAGCTGCAGACATGTCTGAATAGTTTGGAGCATGTGATGAGGGCATTATTTTCATTGGCATTTCCCAAGTCCCATGAGGTCATTCCTCTTGCTCCATTGGAGCACTCCTCTCGAGATCTGAGAAACTGACAAATGATGACAGATGAGATCGGTCCATCCCATTAGAGGCTGGGTCCATGTAGGGCAGTTTTCCTGGACTTCCTCAGTACAATTTTTAAAAGTAAGACCCAGGAATATTTGTTGGACATTTTGTACGCATAAGACATTCATAATTTGTTATAAGGAAACATATCTCAAATTTTGTTTCTTTGCCTCTTTTGGAATTGTCAGTGCTAAAGCAAGGTTCTGTTATCTCAAAAGCATCTTTACCTGTTATTGAAATTAGGTGGATTTTTAAATAACCTTTGTTAAATGATTCACAAATTGTTTGCTCTATCTGCTTTGTATGCTATTTTTAATAAAGATTAGTTTTTTTTAATCTTTGTGTAGGAAATACTTTCCAGCCCTAGTCTTTAGTTTTAGGATCACAGGCTTGGACTTGGAGTAATGGGGAGGGGAGGAGGGATGGCTGATGACGGTGGTGGCTCATGTAGAAAGTGGTCACAGTGTCCCTGCAGTGGAGGTGAGCGACGTGTTAGGCATCTCTTCAGACCGTTTTGTGCCCCATCTTTTGTTGGAAACTGTGCAGTTCCCTGTGACTGCATTAACTGGGGCCAGAATTATTAGACAAACAAGGAGGAGGAGTAAAGGGAGTTAGATAAAAACAACTGAATATGGATAGAGACATAAGGATTATTAAAATGTGTACATATATATATATATATATATATATATGGGAGAATAAGAACAGAAAGATTATTTGTGGTTATAGTGATGATTCTATCTCTTTTTCATGGATTCATCTTTTTCCCAATGCCCCTTAATCTTGATAATACGCCCTTGAAGCAGTTGCTTTACACATTGAAAAACTGAAACATGGGTTTCAAAAACTGTGAGGCGTGCCCACCTATGAGATAGTTGAGAGAAAATGCAAATCCAGGTCAGCTAGAGTGCTATGGGTTAGGATGTTGGAATTCATCCAGAGCTGAAGAGAGACTCTTCCCAACTCTTAGGGACTTACAGTCCATTGGAAATCGCTGCACTGAAAGGCCATAGACATGAGCGATCTAGGGCCTTCTGTAGTTGGAGTGTGCTTCAGGGGGATAAAAAAATGTAGGCAAAGGAGGATCAGAATGTGCAAAAGAGGAGAATGGTGAGTCCCATGTTTGCTCAAAGCCTGATGGTGGTGCGTCGGAGGTTTGGTGGGAGATGAGGTGAGGCTGCTCAGGTGGATGGAGAACAGGAAGAAGAATTCATAGGCAGTGGAGACTCACTGTGGGTTTGGTGGGTGAGGATTGGATAGGAGGAAAGATGTGTGAGGAAGTCGTGGTGAGGGGAGAGAGAGTTCCTTGGTGCCGAATTGGGAGTGTTCTGTGGATTTGTGATTTCTTTCTACTCCAGTTAAAAGATGACACAGGGAGGAGCTTTCGAGTTTAGTGGGTCTATACCGAGTCTCCCACTTTGTTACCTGCTGGGCAGGTTTACTCAATAGCTTAGAATGTAGAGTCAGCAATCAATCAGATGTGCACTGTCAGTGCTGGAATTCTCCTTTTCTGTTTTTCCTCCTCTAAATAGCGGTGCTAGTTCATTTTCATGGCAGGGAAAGAAGCAGGTTTATGTTCAGAAGATGTAAATAAAAAGAGTAGGAGATACAGTCAGGTCCTACTTTGAGGAAAAGGGTAGGGAAAGGTAGAGCTTGGCCGTTTTTAGGAGCCCAGACTGCCTTTTGTTTTGGTTGGTGTTCAGCCGTAGGACATGCATCCTGAAAGCAGACCAGTGCTGACTTTTGTTTTTCACTCTCCCAGTGACAGAAAAAGAATGTCTGTAATTGTTCGAACTCCTTCAGGACAACTTCGACTCTACTGCAAAGGCGCTGTAAGTATCGGAGAAGCCTTGTGCATATAGCAGAGTTCCTGGCAGCTTTTCTCATCTGCTGCTTTTCCTAACTGCTTTCCTCATCATTCCTTTATTGTTTGCCCAGAAGATGAAAGGCTCTTTCAGGTAGGCTGCGAAGTTGACTTAGTAGTAAAAGCCCACTGAAGATAATGGTGGTTCAGGGCGCTGTGACAAAGATGGCTAGTTTAAAGCTTACTTTTAGCTATAGATGGTTTCAGAAATAGTGACTCCAAGTGTCATGCAAAATCCTTATAATGTGAATTCTTATTCCAGTTTTACCAGCGTTGTGTGTTGACTTTGAGAAGATAAAGTAGTTTGTATTGACCTATGATCCTCTTAAGTACTCTGATATATAGTGGTTCTCTAGCACCTCTTCTTCTCAATCGTTATGGGTTTTTCCATGCATCACAGAGAGCTGTGTTGTAGGTACAAAGGCAATGTGCATGTGTAGCTGCATTCTTACTGCCCCTTTTAGTCAGTTTCCTAGGTCAGGCTTTTTGTCCTGTCTACCTTCTGGTAACCAAATCTAAATGGTTTATCGCAAAGGAAAACTGTTATTGCTTATGAATCTCACTTATAAAACTATATCCTGTTAAATTGTAGTCTTATGTATTGAGGAAAAGAATCATTAAGCTTATTTTATTTGACTCTGTCAAGAATACAAAGCTCTCCTAGGATTAGTTATTGGTTGACAGTATTACTAATCTTTACCAGTTGTGGCAAGAAGGATGCTTTTATCTGAGTACATGATGACTAGAGCTTTAAAAATGAAGGAATTCTAAAAGCATTATAATTGGACTTACTAAAGAATTCTGTGTTTTTAGTAAACTGACTTGAATTGAGCTCATCTAGGTTTTGTTCTCATATGGTATATTTTTTAAACTTGTTGTTTATTCATTTGACACTGTATTCTAAGTAACATATCAGTACCAAAGGCGTCAGCGTGAAGTGGTAGAGAGAGGAGGGCCCTCAGTATAGAAGAGGTGCATATGAAAAGGCTGCAAAGGTGTATTTTGTTTTTATAGGATTTAATTCTCTCCAAAAACCAAACTCAGTTTAAGAAAATTTTTGTAGTACCTTAAAACTATGCAATTTGTAACATATTTGGTGGATTATCTGTGGAATCTGGTCCCCCAACTGTGCTTGCCAGTCATAGAAATAGTCACAGACAGAGGAGCTGTGCACCTGTGTGTTTCAGCACCCAGTGGGCTGTGCCCTCCCTGCTTAGGTGCTCCTTCCGTGTTGGGAAGCTAGATTGTACCTGAATAACTTAAGATGTGCATTTCACCCTTTCCCCTTCTGCACAAAGGCTTGATAAACTTTGGGATATGAGTTTTGCAAATTTTGGTGACTGTAGGCACCCGTGTGTCCCAATGATTCTTCTGTATCTCGGTTCTCCCAGGATGTTTCTGTTTGGCTTTTAAGATACAGATTTTGGTTTTCTTGGACACATTCATACCCAATTTGTTTTCCAAAGCTCATGCCTGAGCCCAGCCAAGTGCTAAATTCCTGCTTCCCCACTCAGGTATCCTCATGGGTGTTGGATAAACAGAAACAAAACCACGCTTAGCATGCTGGCTGGAAGGTTTACTGAAGGGTTTGCCAGTCATAACATTTCCCTTTTTTATAGGATAATGTAATTTTTGAGAGACTTTCGAAAGACTCGAAATACATGGAGGAAACATTATGCCATCTGGAATACTTTGCCACAGAAGGTAAGTGGAATTTGGAAATGCTGCTTTTGACCATTAGAGCTGTACTTTCAGGCATGTTGTCTTGCTTTCCAGGAGCACATTTTTCTAGTGCCTGCTGTGTCCCCTCCTGTGCCCATGGCAGTGACAATATGCATAGCCAAATCCAAACTCGGTTACCTGTAGATGCCTCTGTCACTTATCAGCAGTGGTGCAGAGGGAGAGGCAGACCAGTGCGCAACATGTAGAATCACCTTTAGTTACTAGTCCTTTTCTCAGAAAACTCATGTGGTTATTTTCCTGGCCCTCTCTTGGTGTCCTTATGTCACTGGCTTATCCATGACTTAAGGAAATAATAATTCATGGAATCCATAGTGAGCAGGAAAGGAATTCCCTGGAAGGCTGTAAACAACACTGACGTCAGGTGTTCCTGCTAGCGAGTGTCATGATAGCTGGAGCTCAAGTGCTGACTGCTGCTTTCTGGCCTTGGTGTGTTCCCCTGGCTCTGCATGCATGCACATGTGAGCACACGCACACGCATGTGTATGGGTGTGGTTGCCTGGAAGCCTGGATTTTTCATGAGTTAGCACATGGGGCCATTTCTTGCTGTCTTGAAACGCACTTCTCACCTTCTCTGCTTGCCGAAACCTGCGGACTGCACGCAGATCATGCCCAGCTCCTGAACCTCTCTGCTATGGAGAATTCACTCTTCTGACTTCTCATGCACACTCTCAAACTTACAGAAGAGGTAGTTTATACTAGAATACAGGAGAGTTGTTTTTAAATTTCCCTTGGTAGATGTGGGAGTGTTGAATTAGAGGGAACTAAAGCAGAGCGTCTCTTCAATTTTTTGAGCATGCTGATGGAAAAGGGAGCACAGGCTGTCCCCTGGGAGGTCGCATGTTCTGCCTGCCTCCATTCACCAGTGGCTGTCTTGCAGGCTTGCGGACTCTCTGTGTGGCTTATGCTGATCTCTCTGAGAATGAGTATGAGGCGTGGCTGAAAGTCTATCAGGAAGCCAGCACCATATTGAAGGACAGAGCTCAACGGTTGGAAGAGTGTTACGAGATCATTGAGAAGGTAACCACACACGATACAGTCGTTACAGCTCCATGAAGGACTTAACCACCTATTTCACAAAGTCTTTGAACAGGAATCCTATTAGTATATAGGGATGGTCTCCTTTCTTGTGTGTTAATGAACCATTAGCTCTGAATCATTTTCTTTGCTTTAAGAAGCCCTTAATTTTCCTGGTTTTTTCTGAAAGGTTAGCCACCCTCAGCTAAGCATTAATGATAGCTCAAGAAATATCAGGTCAAAAACAGCATTAGTGACTCTCTGGGTTTGTTGAAGATTAGGCTTACTGAGATTAGCTCACCTGTTGAGTTACACAAGCAATCGGAATGCTGCGGACGCTGCTTAGATGTTATTCTCACACTGACTTAGTCTAATAATACCTAAGCTTTGCCGTCGCTGCTCACAGTGCCTACTTGGGTTTGGTCGTTGTTTTTCTTTTCAGTTTATCTGTAGACATTAGCTCGTTTTCAGTTTATTGGTTTCCTTCAAGTCTGGGAGCTGGGTTTCAGCTTGTTGTTTCATATTGGCAGCCATAGAGTCATCCAATTTCCAGTTTCTGTAATTAAAAAAAAAAAAGTACGGAGACGGGATTTCCCTCTGTTACCCAGCACCCATGCTAGAATGTAGTGGTGCAGTCATAGCTCACTGCAGCCTCAAACTCCTGGGTTTGAGCTAACCTCCCACTTTAGCCTTCCGTGTAGCTGGGACTACAGGCTCATGCTACCATGCCTGGCTAAGTTTCATATATTTTTTTTTATAGAGATGGGGTCTTGCTATGTTGCCCAGGCTGGTCTCAAACGCCTGAGCTCAAGCAGTCCTTATGCCCTGGCCTCCCAAATCCCAAAGTGCTGGAATTACAGGTGTCAGCTACCATGTCTGGCCTGGTTTCCATAACTTTGAAACCATCACCTATTTACTTTTTTCATTCCTTTGTTGGTTTCAAAAAATTCTTCTCTGCTTTTTTATACTGTTTTTTGTTTAAGTTTTATATTCAGTTATTTATATTGAGTCATTTTAATGTACTGAATTAAAATAAACTGAACAAAACTGAATTCAGGTGTTTCTTTGCCCTGTTTTACTAGAAATAGCCACAATTATTTTTAGAATTAGAAATAGGTGACATGCCTATAGTGGATGCTCAAGAGGTAGTTAGATCTTCCCACAGTCTGTGACCAAGCAGAGATGCTATGTCCTGGAGAGGCTTGGGATGTGGTGGGTATGTGGAGCAGGCCCTTTGTACGTTCTCTGGAATCTGCCAGACCAGCAGGTACAGCATGGACAGCTGGAGGGAACCACACATCCACATCCATCCTCAGCATGAGCTAATCTGCCCTGGGCCTTGAAGAGGACCCAAAGGGGCAACATTTTATAGCTACCCTCAATCTTAAGATACTTGGATGTTTTTTTCTCTCACTGTTAAATCCTTGGAACCACAGGCCTCTTACTCGTATTCTGCCAGGTAAGCATATCATCTAGAATGAGTTCTCCCCTTCGTTAAATGTGATATAATGTGCTACTCATTAGTGGACTGAGAGGGAGGGCTCAGGTACTGTCAGAGTCCTCAGGATAACCTGCCCATGTGCTCTGCTGCCAGACAGTTTCTATTGTAACAAGCCTCTGTGTCAAGAAATCAGTGATGACTACTGGGCTGCCTGCGTGTGTAGAGTGCGTCCACCATTGCAAGGCATTTGGAAATGCCACCATCTAGATGCCATCTGCAGACACAGGAATAAAAGAGGAAATAGAACAACTGTCTCAGAACAGTTTGATTGCCTTTCTTTGTCAGAATTTGTTAGTGCTATTCTTAAGTCTGTGCCAGTCTTTACCTGAAGATATTTTTTCAATCTAGAATTTACTACTACTTGGAGCCACAGCCATAGAAGATCGCCTGCAAGCAGGAGTTCCAGAAACCATCGCAACTCTGCTGAAGGCAGAAATTAAAATATGGGTGTTGACAGGAGACAAACAGGAAACTGCAATTAATATAGGTAAATTATTTTTAAAAATAATTTCCTGATGCTGGCTTTTGTATTGGTTTTTCAAGTATCTTGTAAATGTGTCTAACTGTGCCAAATTCATGGACAGGTGATGTTTTATAGGACTTTTCATTCACAAGGCTAAGAAAAATTGATCCAAATCAAATAAAGATGCCCTTATGCCTATTATGAACATTAAAACTATCTTAGTTCCTAGAAAAGAATTAAACACACTTACATAGGTCATAGAATTCAGGATCTGACAACTTTGATTTTCTTGTTGCTTTCTCCACAAAATTCTAGTCTGAGACTAAGAGAGCTTGTTTTCACTAGCTTTAAGTATGCATTACTATATTATAACCATTTTAATGGGCTTTTCTCAGGGCCTAGCGTCTTTCTCTTCCAGCTTGGTTGACAATTTTCTTGCTTACAGAGCATCACAGAGATGAAAACTGAAGAAAAGAATTTAATCAGGGTGACTCTGCCATTGTTAAAGGAGCATATTTTAAGTTTGAAAAGGAGTTGCAGCTACTCACATTTAAAATATCTAATCTTGATTCTTTGAAATATTTAAACATTACCTGGTACTTTGATCACCGTTATGGTGTAACAAGACCCGGTGCATATGTGGTGAAATGAACACATAAGGACTGCGTAACTTACAGTATCTTGCTAGAAATAGACTCTGTTTCTAGATTTGTTTGTATGTCTGTGCTCTGTGTCGTAGAAAGAAACCTGCTAGAGCCTCTGTGTTTAAGTGACTGTAGTCCTTATCAGAGTAGTCTTCTTGGAATATTTTCACCATAATCCAAGGGTGTCCCTTTCCTGAAAAACCTTATCTTTGAATCAGTTTTGTCTCTCTTATAACCTCAGTTGGGATAATACCTGCCTTCTTGGGTAAATTTGATTAAAAAAACAGTCAAAAGCCATGTAATCATTTCTTGTCAGGGATATAGCTGATTAAATGAGAGTTGGGCTCCCAAACAACTGAAGTGAAGCCCATAAGAGGGTGGTGTGGGATTCATAAACAGTCCCTGAAGTATCAGCCATGGACTTTGTCCCTGGATTTGTGCTGGCTGTCGCTCAGAGGCGTGGCTTTGGGGAAGAGTATTTGCTTTTGATATACTGTATTTCTGTATAAGCATATGGATTGGCCCTTTGTGTATTATTTTTCACAGAAAGTTAGGCTAAAACACCTGCTATGGATCTGTGGCCCCTGTTGTTTACAGAGGGCACGCTAAGTTGACTGCTACTCTGAAATACTTACCTAAAATTTAGGTGGTATGCTTTCCACCCTCTTAGAGCAATGTGAAAAAAGAGGGGATCACCCCTCAAGTTAAAATCGAGCCGCAAGGTGGTAACCTTTCTAGTTTTCCAGACCTTGAGTGTTCCTGCTGGACTAATAACCTATGCAGGTCACTGCCCTAGACTCAACTACCTTCAGTGTGTTCTTAGCTGTGCCCTGGCTGGAAAAGGGCCACAGCCCCCTCTCACCACCTCTCATCCACACCGCCCAGCCCCTGGGAGGACACGCAGCCCTTTTTTTTGCGTGTTCATTTTGTTATACCTGAGCATATCTAGCTAAGTTTGGGATAAACACAAGAGAAAGCAAAGCACTGAAAATCGACCCAGAAAACACAAATAAATTGTTACTTGAAAAGGAAAGTTTTACTTGTATGCAGTGAGGCTGCTCTGAGCCTTGTGAGATAATTGATACCTGTCCAAACAATTTTTAAAAAATCATATTATTTTGTACTTTTTTCTAAGAGTGTATAGTAACGTGTAGTGCTGGTGCCAGGACCACTCACATCAATTGCTATCTCTTGATCTTTCTTAGCAAATACTCCCCAAGGCCACTAGAAGATGATGCTTTATAAGCTGATGACTTTTTGTCAAAGTCTTGTGTTTATCCTGGAGGCTTTCTCTATTCATGGTTTATCTAGTGGATCAGTCAGATTCAAACATATATTGGGTGTTACTAGGTAAGCCTCTAACAGCTAGAGAATTGATTTCTTGGAGAGAGCTATGTCTGAATGGTTTATTTACTTCGCCTTTGGAACTCAAGTTTGTAGCTCTGGGTGAGGCGGAGAATTTAAATGTCGTTTTATGATTTAAGGTGTCTGTTGAGCCTACAAATGATGCAGAAGGCTTAGGAAAGCATGTATGTCCAGACATGTCATTAGACTTCTCAGTGTCAGACCACAGGTGGCGGCTGTCAGCAGTATGAGGTCATGCTCCAGATACAGGGTGTTTTTAAGCCTGTTTTCTAGTCATCTAGCCCTCATACCCCTGGTAGTATTAATCATTATTGACCTGTCTCCCATAATACTTCACATTTTCATGCAACCTGTGTGGGTTTTAAGGTATCCAGAAGATATTTGGGAAGATCAAATATGTAGCAGTTCTCCTTCTAGATGAAAAAAGGGAAACAGAGCAAGTAAATAGAGTGTCTGGCACAAATGCCAGGCACTATACTAGCAGTGTTTTCTGAAAGTTCTTTTTAAAAAAATCTTTACATATGAACAGTCCCTTTTTTTTTTTTTTTAACTATACTTTAAGTTCTGGGATACATGTGCAGAATGTGCAGGTTTGTTACACAGGTATACACCTGCCATGGTGGTTTGCTGCATCCATCACCCCGTCATCTACATTAGGTATTTCTCCTAATGCTATCCCACCTCCAGCCCCCGACTCCCGACAGGCCCTGGTGTGTGATGCTCCCCTCCCTGTGTCCATGTGTTCTCATTGTTCAGTTCAGCTCTCATTTATGAGTGAGAACATGTGGTGTTTGGTTTTCTGTTCTTGTGTTAGTTTGCAGAGAATGGTGAGCTTCATCCATTCCCTGCAAAGGACATGAATTAGTCCTTTTTAATGGCTGCATAGTATTCCATGGTGTATATGTGCCACATTTTTTTTAGCCAATGTATCATTGATGGGCATTGGGTTGGTTCCAAGTCTTTGCTATTGTGAACATTGCTGCAACAAACATACATGTGCCTGTGTCTTTATAATAGACTAAATTATAATCTTTTGAGTATATACGCAGTAATGGGATTGCTGGGTCCAATGGTATTTCTAGTTCTAGATCCTTGAGGAATCGCGACACTGTCTTCCACAATGGCTGAATGAATTTACACACCCACAAACAGTGTAAAATTATTACTGTTTCTCCACATCCTCTCCAGCATCTGTCTCCTGACTTTTTAATGATTGCCATTCTAACTGGCTTGAGATGGTATCTTACTGTGGTTTTTATTTGCATTTCTCTAATGATCAGTGATGTTGAGCTTTTTTTTTTTCATATGTTTGTTGGCTGCATAAATGTCTCCTTTATGAAAAGTCTTATAGCTCGAGGAGAAAATTCTATGTTTCCCAAGGCTATATTCTACTTAAGACCAAACTGGTACTAGGTCTCAGGGCTCTTGACTTCTGGTATGGGGCTTATTTAGAGGGATTCATATAGCTTTTGCAAAGAATGTTTTCTTAAATCTGATATAGAAGACCACAGAGAATGGTACTATAGTTCATCCATTCTAAGGCGCACATTGTTTTTACATTTTAATGTCTCTGAAATGGGGATGCCTTACAGTTATTGACTCTTATGCTTTTGATCAGCAGCATGATCTTAGTGGTATGTACTGTAAGAGTTCATCTTTAGATTTGGTGACATAATTATGTTTGGTGTTTGGGGGTGTTGACTCTTTTAGAGTTTGGTTTTTTAATATATATGTCTCATAGTTTGAGAATTTATTTTTAAACTTTAACTTTTTGTTCATACCTTGGAAAAAAAATACACTTAGTCAAATCAAGTTCCAGGACATATGTGTCTCCTGTGAGCCAGTGAATTTTATGTTGATCGACAATCATCTTGCATATAGGTTTTAGTAGTTTGAAATTGGCATGTTGCCGGAATCCTGCAATGCTGTGCTTGAATTATGCTAACTAGCTCTGTTTTGAGGAGTTGGTGGTTTTCTTTTTTAACTTAAAAATTTGGCATCGGCTGGTCTAAAGTAAAATTTCAGATGTAGCCCTTATGAATCTCTTGGTGGTCATTTCCTTATTACCACTGCATGAAACATCTATTAAATAGTTATGCAATAGATGTGGAGTTTTTAGAGTGTGTAATTTTTTTTTAAATGGATGTTGGATGAGTGAGAACAAAATCCTAGTGTGTATTCCATTTTAAAGTAATTAAGTTGGAATTAGCTTTCATCTTAAACCATTTCTGAATTAGAATTCCAAGTCTCTCCCCCACCCTCCCTGCATTTTCTTACCCATCATTTGATACTTTTAAACCATTTCTTATGGTCTTAGAGGTTTATTTTTTAAATTTTAATACATTTTATTGTGTATATTTAAGGTAAACAACATGATGTTATTAGATACAGATAGATTATCTTTGAAGTTGAGTTTTAGGAAGTGACTAAATATATCGCTTGCCCCTCCTATAAATTGCCTGTACATTTTCTTGTTCGTTCAAGGGAAGGCGCGTTACCATTCTCAGGTAAAGCCGGACTGACTGCCATTTCTCACAGACGTTTCAGTCCTGTATTTCTTGATTACCTGCAGCTAACACTGTAGCCAGGTGCCCCACTATAAGCTTGGGAACTTATACTCCACACTTGGGGGATGAGTTAATCATGAGACAAATCAGAGAATGAAATATATGAGGCAGTACCAATAGTGCAGTGTAGATGTTAATCATGACGAGCTTTTGTAATAGTTACTAGCAAATGTTATCAGTTATGTGCCAGATACTATGCTAAGCCCTTTACATATGTTTTATATTTAATTTCCTTGGATAATTTAAAAGGCATTATCCCCCTTTAAAGATAAAACTGAGGCACAGAGAGATGAAGTAACTTAGCCTAGATCACACAGATGTGAGAAAGCTGAAAATCTGAGCACTTAACTGCAACTCACAATATTCATTTCTTAAAAGGAAAAATATGAGTTGTAGTAAAGAACCAGGGAAGTCTTCCTGGATGAGACAGGTTTAAAACTTGAGCCTTCAGAATTTTTTTAAAACAAAAATGACCGAGTATAGAATGAGTCAGGATAAGATGAGGTGAGGCAGCACGTTCTTCTGTGTGGTGAGGGTTCCCAAGAAGGGCCTGAAGGGTCTCAAGGGAGAGGTGCCCAGGTGTGTGGTCCACTGACAAGGCCTCAGCTCTCCCTAGTTCTCTGGATAATGAGGGGCACTGGATGAGCTCTCTTTGATCGCACGTGGAATAGCCTAAAAGACCCTCTTTTGTCATGCATTCTTGTTGTCTGCCAGTGTTTTTCATACACGCAAACACTGACTGACCAGATTCTCTGTAGAGCTGTTGGGACCCAGGAACGTGCTTACTGCCCATTGGTACCATGTTGAATCCAGTGATGATGTGATCTCAGGTACATAGTTTGTAAGGATACATTGTTCCTGACTTTTTCAACAGTGTCTTCAGAGAAGTCTGGATTTGTTATCAAAACCAGTGTTCTCCTTTTTTAAGGAGGAAACTGGTTAAGAGAGCTGAGAGATTTGGTTTGGTAATACTTTTTAGTATGAAGCATTATCTTATTGTGTTAAAATCAAATCCTGCTGTAAGTACCATAGACTCTGTAATATTTTGGTTTCTTTGAATGTTGATTATACTCAGGTAGTAGAAAGACTAAACCCTTTTGGAGTATACTGTTAATTTCAGCTGTAGTAAAAAGTGAAATCCCAGCGGTTCTCCTCTCAGTCATTTTATGGCCGTCTTGTTAGATTGCGAGATTAAAGAAGTAGACCTCAATTTACAAGTGTGGATTGACATTCTATACTTGGCTCTTCTCCAATAGCTGATCTCATTTATCCAAAAACATTAGAAATCAAGCACACCAAATGTGGATTGACACAATTTAATTTGCTGTGTTAGTTAAGCCACAATTAGCAGGGTTAAACTTCCATGGTCTGTCTAGTGCGAGTGCTCCAAGTGATAATTCTCTAAGCAAAATCTCACTTCAGTATCCAAACTAAAAACAACAAAAAAAACCCTTAACTTGTTTCTTCTCAGAAGCCTTTAGTTTGTATATTTAAATTTATGAATGTGTCTGTAGTTTTTTTTTTTTTTTTAATTTCCCTACCCCCTGCCATGGCTAGAAAAAAAGGACTTAAGAGTTTTTCCATAATATCTTTGTGTAGCTTCAGTTGTCAAATGGCATTTTGCTTAAATTGAAAAATATAAAGCAGCAAGCAAGGGCTTAAAAATTACAGCCAGCTTCTGCAGCTGTTGTTCAAATAAAAAACTACCAGTAAATCCTTTTGCATTAGTTACACTAAATTTGTAACAGTCTGCATTGCATGAAGTTGCTGGAAGTCTCTGGGGAGGAAGAAAGAGTAAATCTAACATAGAGGGAAATGATTAAAGTTGCAATATCCCCTTTGCAAGTGGAAAGAAAATGTAAACCTCCCCTTTGGACCTAATCTAACAACTTAAAGAAAGGAAGAATGCATTTGTAAAATTTTAATGGGAAACAAAGAGTTTGATTATTCTAGTCTTACCAGGCAGAGTTTTTAATGGCATTTTGAAAGGGTCTCACTTTTATCCATCACTGCTGTTAAAATACAGACTTGAACTAGTTTGTAGTTTGTAAATGTATAGAAAATTGCTTCTTGCTTCCCCTCTGTGTTTTTTAGAGATTTAACAGGTATTTGCCCATGTGGTGTTGTGATTTAAAATTATTCAGTTTGTTGGCCGGGTGCGGTGGCTCACGCCTGTAATCCCAGCACTTTGGGAGGCCGAGGTGGGTGGATCACGAGGTCAAGAGATCGAGACCATCCTGGTCAACATGGTGAAACCCTGTCTCTACTAAAAATACAAAAAAAAAAAAAAAAAAAAAATTAGCTGGGGCATGGTGGTGCATGCCTATAATCCCAGCTACTCAGGAGGCTGAGGCAGGAGAATTGCCTGAACCCAGGAGGCGGAGGTTGCGGTGAGCTGAGATCACGCCATTACACTCCAGCCTGGGTAACAAGAGCGAAACTCCGTCTCAAAAATAAATAAATAAATAAATAAAAATAAAATTATTCAGTTTGTTTTAGTTTTAAAAACAATATGTGTTTAACAAGACAAGTAATCTGATTCCCTTGAGATAACTATTGTCAACAGCCTTGACTGTCTTTCTTATATTGCTTTAAAAAATTAACATTTGGATGAAAAGCCATAATTTTTTTGATCTCTGAGGTGCTTTACAAAGTACTCTACATGACAGTCCTTAGGAAGGATGTACTTTCTGAAATAAACAAAAATTTTTTACTGTTTCCTTTAACCTCTTCATTCCCCAAAAACCCACCACAACATGGTTTTTCTTGGTCTTAATTTTTGTCTATCTTGAATTTCATTTTGTGCCTGTTATGAGGATTTCTTAGGGATAAAAAGAGAACCTGCTGAGTAGGACTGAGCACATAAATGCAGCAGTTCTGATCCTTGTCCCTCAGTTAAATGCCGTCTTCTTTTCTAGCCACATGTAGCCTCTGTGGGAAGGATGTCTTCTTCTCTGTCCTGTGAGGAGAATCCTGGCTCCCCCTGGCTATAGGAATAGTACTGGCCAAGCCTTTCCTTGAGATTGTCACGTGCTTGCTTGAAGATTGATGATTGATTTCCCTTTTCTATAGTCATTAATCCATTATCTTAAGATGCTGAGACAAAACTAATTGTGAGGGCCGATTTTCTGTGGGGGAGGATTTTTTGTTTTGCTTTTTCTCAATGAGAAAGATTGAGTTCTGGATTGGTGGAAAGCACAAGTCTTCGCTAATCCCCCAAGGCACTGAGAGGACTCAGAGTGATCTGAGAGACAGACCATTCCCCTGGCGGACACCTCTAGTCTTGGAGTTGCTAGATCCCTCTCCCCTCCACAGAGGGTGTGAACTGGAGGGGAGGCATCCCAAGAGGCGCTCAGCTTGGTCCATGAGTGCTCACCCAGGGCAAAATGTGAGTGGGAAAGAGCCCAGGGCTTCCTAGAAAATATGTTCTATGCTGGGAGGGAAAGCAAAAAAAAAAAAAAAAAAGTCTTGCTTAACCTGTAGAGGTAACTGTACTGGAAAATGAAAAGAAATTGTTGATAAAAACTAGGAGTACTTTTTTTCCAAATAAGCCTTTAAAAAAAATTTTTTTTGAAATGTAGATTAATTTTTTACAGGAAAAGTGACTCCCTTAGTATATTCCTTTGAAACTTGTTGTGAGAAGCAGCTACTGTTGTAAAGGAAGGGAGGGAGCTGGCTATTCCAGTGGGCATGTGTGTGCTGATTTAGGGGCACCATTGGGGTCCATGGACCTACCTTCCTAAAGTGTTCACTGTTACTTTAGACAATCCAAGGCTTATCTTAATGTTATACAAGGATAACAGAGATCAAGAAAAATCCACAGAAAATTGGAAAGTATTTATTTTATCCTTTAGTTATAAAGACATTCCCAACTGGTTTTATCCAGTCTGTCTACAAGAATTAAAATCAATTTAAGTTACTTTTCCTCCCCCTCACTCTTACCCTTTTCCTCTGTGTGAGCCAGTAGACTTAAAGTGGCAGATACGATCAAGGAGTCGGAATTTAAGGAGCTCACAGAAGGAAAGAGAAATTCACATGTTGTCTCTTCCTCCACTTCAGGGTATTCCTGCCGACTGGTATCGCAGAATATGGCCCTTATCCTATTGAAGGAGGACTCTTTGGATGTAAGTAGCTTTTCGAAGCTGTATTTTCTAGAACTGCATTAAACTCTTTGTTTCTACTATCATTGATAACTAGGGATCATGTTTTGCTAAAAAACAATTATGAAACAACTGTGTTTATTTTCTGTTCATATTAATATTTATGAAGGGATGTCAGAAAGCCTTATCTTTAAACATCAAAACAGTAAGCTTAGAATAATGCCTCATGATAAAACTTTTATTCATCTAGAATTGTGCATTTAAAATGGGATGGTTTCAATCTTGTTTAGCTTGAATCATTAAATATGAAATATTAATGAAACCTGTTATGACCTACATTACATGGTGATGGTTAACTTCACTGTAAGTTACTATGGAGACATGCATGATTTTCTTTCTAGCACAAACTTTAGAATAAAGCTAATATTTAAGTGTTAAGTGTTGTTTAAATTTATATAGTAAAGCCAGGTGCAGTGGCTCATGCCTATACTCCCAGCATTTTGGGAGGCAGAGGCAGAAGGATCGCTTGAGCCCAGGAGTTTGAGACCAGCCTATGCAACATAGTGAGACTCCATCTCTACAAAAAATGGAAAAATGGGCCAGGCATGGTGGTATATGCCTGTAGTCCCAGCTACTTGGGAGGCTGAGGCTGGAAAATTGATTGAGCCTGGGATGTGGATGCTGCAGTGAGTCGTGATCATGCTACTGCTTTCCAAACTCGGTGACAGAGTGAGACTCTGTCTCAAAATGATAAAAACAATAATACATTTATATAGTAATAGGATACATATACACTTAATTCTCTGATGTCCCAGTGCCACCACATGAACCCACCCCATCATGGCATAAAAGCCACTGAAGGGACTAGCAGTGTGAGCTGATTTGAGGGTCACCAGTAACCTGTGAAGTGATTTGATATGAAAATATAACCTGAGCATGAGATTTTTATTTGTCAGAGCTTTTAACAAGGGCTTTGTTACTGGCAGGCACCCATGGTACCCTTCCATGCAGTATATTTAACATTTATATTTAGCCAATGCTGGGGCAGTTGGCACGGTTAATTACACTTTTAAAGGGAGGCAATAAAGTAGAGAGGCTTCTATACTTAATTTCCCTCCCCCCCGCCATGGCTAGAACACAACCACAGTGTCTGTACTTGAGGCTCCCTTTTTTCTGATGATTTTCTGATTCAAAGGTATCTACAACCTTGAAAAAATCCTCTTTTTTTCTGGTGGTAACTCAGAAATGAGTCTCAGTTTTCCCCTTATATCAGATGTTCTCTGGAGTTCAAGAGATGGACTTTTAACTCTATGTACACATAAAACTTGCAGCACACATTGAGACGTCTGGTTTATCTAGACCAAAGAGTGGTTTCTGATGTTAAACTGAGAAGGTTTTATGGATGTGTACCTGATTCGCCTTGGTTTAACCTCCTAAGTATGATTCTTCTGGCCAGGCGTGGTGGTTCACGCCTATAATCCCAGCACTTTGGGAGGCTGAGGCGGGTGGATCACAAGGTCAAGAGATCAAGACCATACTGGTCAACAAGGTGAAACCCCTTCTCTACTAAAAATACAAAAATTAGCTGGGCATGGTGGTGCACACCTGTAATCCCAGCTACTCGGGAGGCTGAGGCAGGAGAATTGCTTGAACTCAGGAGGCGGAGGTTGTGGTTAGCCGAGATCGTGCTATTGCACTCCGGCCTGGGTAACAACAGCAAAACTTCATCTCAAAAAAAAAAAAAAAAAAGAAAAAAAAAGAATGATTCTTCTATAACCACTTTGAACTTCATCTTTTAGTATAATTACTGTAATATATATTCAGTATCTACTGAGCAGAGGTGCACTTTCTATGTACTTTTTTGTTCATTATTCAAAAGGGCACTCCATATTTCTGACTAGTGTCTACTGAGGAAGTTCCCCTCCTTCGTTGTCCTCTCCTCCCATTCATTCTTTAGTTGGGTTAAAGTCATTCCTATTCTCATTAAAATTGCATTTGGTGGTGGTGAGGGGGATAAAAGCAGCATCCTAGGGCAATAAATTAGATATACAGTAGAGCTCTCGTGGAGCTCCCAAGTTGAGCTTTTAAGGTCTCAGGGCTCCAGTGATGATGCAGACAAGAAAGGCACACAGAAAATGGCCCAACAATTAGAAGCATTTGGCTTGACTTCTCTCTATTTCATTTTTCATATAAGTGTGAGGGGATAAGGGGCTTACCTCAAACATCCAGACCTGGACCCAATCACTTTCAGCAAACCAGTAAGTATGGCCAGGTTCAGACTCCAAATATTGTAAACAATTAGGATTCATCTCTGTGTTTTGAGTTTTTCATATGCTGCAAAAATAACTTCTAAGCTCCATAATATAGATGAGATCAGTGGTCTTTGAAACAAAGGAGTTGATAGTGTGCACCCCAGGGGAACACTAGATGATATATTAAAATGCAGGGAAAAAGTTGTGATTTCCTATTTTTTCAGCTAAAAAAAGTATTTCAAGGTTAGCTTTATTGATAATACGTAAGGATTGCCACTGGTACCTCCCATTTTTTTTCCTGGCACGCTGACCAGATATTGGTTTGAGAGGAATGGGTAGGAGGAGAGAGGTGTGGCATTTCAAGTGAGAAAGGTTGTTACTGGGACTCTCACTTTTTTGTTTGCCTTTAGCCAATTGTGAAATACTGTCATTCATGTGTACTGATTAAATGGACTTGTGGACTAGAGTTAGTTTTCATTAAAATGACCCTCACAGATGCTAACTTAACAGAATTCTCTTTTTTCAAAAAAGTGAATTGAGGATAACAATATTGTAGGCAGAAGCTGCAATGATTTGGCTTTGCTCAATGTGTGTGCCACTTCTAGCTCTTCTCAGCTACTTGATAGTTAAAACAGTGATCTGATCTGACAGATTAAGCAAGTTTCAAAATTATTCACAAGATTATCATCATTAAGCATGAAAATGTATATGATATCTTGAAATATTAGCTGTGGTCATATGAAATGGTAGGAATTAATGAGACTTTAAAAACTAAGAATCTTGAGTAAGAGAATAAAAATCTACAACTCTACCAGCAGTTTATTTTTTAAAGAATGTTGTAATCTAATCATTCACTCTAAAATTTCACAAAATCTACTGTAATGTAGTGAATGATAAATGTCTTTGGTATTTGTTAGTAAAGGACAAAAAGTGCTGAGCCACTTGGAGAGCATTTGGTTTTCCTGCTGCAATAATATAGAGAACACAGTGTAGCAACAATTAAGTTGAATATGGGTAGAAGACCTACACAAAACCTTGCCAGGGTGTGTGTGTGTGTGTGTGTGTGTGTGTGTGTTTCTTTTAATCTTTTATGTGTATAGGTTATTGGAAAACAGGTGGTATTTGCTTGCATAAGTAAGTTCTTTAGTGGTGACCTGTGAGATTTTGGTGCACCCATCACCTGAGCAGTATACACTGCACACAGTTTGTAGTCTTATCCCTCACCTCCTTCCCATCCTTTCCCCAAGTCCCCCAAGTCCATTGTGTTATTCTTATGCCTTTGCATCCTCATAGTTTAGCTCCCACTTATGAGTGAGCACATACAATATTTGGTTTTCCATTCCTGAGTTACTTCACTTAGAATAATAGTCTCCAATCTCATCCAGGTCACTGTGGGAATGCAAACTATTACAACCACTATGGAAAACAGTGTAGAGGGTCCTTAAAGAACTAAAAGTAGAACTGACATTTGATCCAGGAATCCCAGTGCTGGGTATCTACCCAGAGGAAAAGAAGTCATTATACAAAAAAGATACTTGCACACACATGTTTATAGCAGCACAATTCACAGTTGCAAAAACGTGGAACCAACCCAAATGTCCATCAAACAATGAGTAGGTAAATAAACTATGGTATATATATATATATATATATGATGGAATACTAATCTGCCATAAAAAGGAATTAATTACTGGCACGTGCCAAGGTTTCTAATAAACAAGTAATTGAAGAAATTGTGACACATAAGACATTTACTACATATTTGGTTAAAAGTGTGGCTGTTTCTAATGTGTTTCAACTTATGGAATAAGCAAAAGGTTATTGTTTTTGAGGAGCCACCGAAAGAAAGATATACTGGCAAAGATGTGTTTGCTCAGAGCAAAGCATTAATTCTTTAACACAAAAGGTTTTATGAAATAAGTGTGGACAATCACTGATGGAATGGCTACTGAGGAATGAAAATGGAATTAGATAAAATTCATTAATGATGCCTGTGGCAGAGACTACATTTCCCAGCATCCCTGTGGATGGGTGTGTCTGTGGGATTAAATTCTCATTGGTGGAATGTGAGCAGCAGTGAGGTACTAGAAGGAAATCTCTTGCCCTGGTTCCTCAGCTCTTCCCATTTTGCTGGCTGGAAATGGTGTAAGGCTGGAGCTACCTTGGGGGCTGTTGATTGGGCACATCAGAGTTGCTCCCCTAGATTAGGACCCTAGATGACTCTGGGAAACAGAATCTGCAGATTCCCTCTGGAATATTTTTCTGAGAAAAGGTTATATAGTTTGAACTGTTGCATAGGGAGTAGTCTCTTTATTTATCCTTACACTACTAATAGTACAGAACCTGATATTAAAAGTAGGGTCAATACAGGCTCTCCCCGCATGACACAGTGCAGGGCTGTTCTCAGAGAGCGAGTAGGACAGTCTGATGCTGCTGGCAAAGGAGAGCTAATGGGATTTGAAGGTCAGGTGATTTGGATTCATTCAGACCAATACATGTGTCCTCATTCAGGTTTTTAAAGTCCCACTCTTTTCCATCAGGGCCCTAACTTCCATGGAAGAGGCCTGGTTAGTCTATGACTGCAACATTCATTGAATCATGCAACCCACAGAATTAGCTTTTCAGGCTGCATATGTCAGGCTGCTATGAGAGAAGTTCTCTTAGTCTGCCATAGAGACTCTCTTGTCTTCTGACTTTGTCTTGACCTCTGATTTTGCAATTGTCATTCTTTAAGCTTCCCAGTGCAGTGAGAAGTGGCTGACCTATCCTTAA